ACCTAAAGATATCCAACCTTCTCCCAAACAAACTTTGGAGCTTCCTAGAGCTACCAAACCCTGCAAATACAGTCTAGTTGTTTCTTTATAATTTCTCTTATACATTTTCATCGGAGGATACAGATTTTAAAGAAATCAAAGGAGAGGTGTGGATTTTTTTTCTTTAATTCTGCATCCTTTAAAAAAAAAAACATGAAAAGGTTATACTAGCTGTATACCTGAATCCCCCTGTCTCACCACTCTAAATTAAGATGCTTTTTTGAAAACCTGCAATAACAGTTTATGTGTGTTTGGAATACAAATGTTTATTGATATAAGCATTTTAATCTCCAGTTAAATTCAGGAGCTCACATGATTTACTTCAGTACACACATAGATTTTTAGGTTTAAACTTTCTGTTACAATCTAATATTTCTAACTCATGCAAATGGATACTAACTTCTGGCTTTACCTGAGTGGATTTCATTCAAACTGTTACTGTTACCAGGCCTTACACAGCAGTGGATAGAGAAACCCACATTTTATCACTCTTCTCTGTATCTTAGCCTCTGCAAAGTTCTCCCCATTTATGTTCAGGATTCCTCTGGTGTTGGCTCAGGTGCTTTTCTCCTCGTGTTTTGATGCCCTTTTTGATATCAACCAAGAAATCACTTCAAGATTTCTCACAATTGTTTCTACCAGTGGTGCTGATGACAGGACACCAATGCCTTTGACACGGACTCCATCTCACAGTTGTGCCAGTGTCTTCTAATGAAGAAAGGGAAGACTCACAAAGTGGGCTGTGTTCCATGCAGGAACCCTGCTGTGCCTACTGTATTCTGCTGAGTCTTCCAGGCCCAGCTCTTTTGTCCTCAGTGGCTTCCTAGAGTCTCTTCCCTATATGAATCAGCCATTTGATGATGCCTTCCAGCATCAACTCCCACAGAGCTACTCAGACATCTTTAGCTATGATCAAATAGACCTGACTCGAAATTTTGGCTCAAAATAAGCCTCCTCCTCCTCTCCCCCAGTGTTTTGTTTGTTTTGGTTTTTAATATCTTTTGTTTGGATTTAAATATACTGCAGCCTTAAGAAAGTTCCCAAATTCACTGTAGTTTGAATACGCTTTGGCCTAGAGAAAGTACTTTTAGTGATAAATACTTCAATGTCTTTCAGGTTTGTACTGGATGGTAAAGAATTAAGTCTCAATATGTCATGTGCAGTATTTATCACCATGAATCCTGGGTAAGTAATAGTCTGGTACGAGTGTACACAGACCAAAATCCTTTTCTTAACTCGCCCACAAGTGAGTTGTCCAAGTCTGTGTATGTATCATTCACCCCTCAGACTTCTCTCTTTATAAACAGATAGAACATCTCTACCTTGTCCATGTGGATGATCTCACATTAAGCTTCTGACTTAAGCGATAGTTCCACTTATCAAACATCCAGAAAGAAAGGACAAGATCAGCTATTTATCATGAAGAAGATGGGCAGAAAAGGTGATGAGAGTGGCGGGAGGAATGGGAATGTGACAGCTAGGTAGGGACACTAAGCACCCGAACCAGTGCCTTAGTAGTCTAAGGAATCAGAAGGGGCTGCTGCGAGGTGAGCTATACGAGGTGAGCTTCATGATGGGGCACAGGAATAAAATGGGATAAACCGGGGTGCTTTGTGGCATGCAAGGTAAGAGCCATCTTGTAAACTGATTTTCTGATAAAAGTCACATAGAAAACCAATAGAGTTATTTGGGGGGAAAGCGTATGGTTTTAAATTTGAAAAATGTGGTGAGGTTTTTGTTGTTCTTGTTGTTACTGTTTTTGTTTTCCCCTTTAGATATAAAGGTCGAGTTGAGCTCCCGGGTAACTTAAAATCTCTGTTTCGCCCAGTGGTGATGGTAGTGCCCCATTATGAGATGATTACTGAAATAATACTGTTTTCATTTGGCTTCAAATCTTCAAACTCACTCTCTGGAAAGCTAGTCAACCTTTATAGTATAGCTAGCAAGCGGCTCTCCAAACAGGTAAGAAACTACTTATCTCAAAATATTTAAGTAAATACCAGGTGGTAACCAATTGCTCTACTGGAACACACTATTTCAAAATATTTAAAGGTGACTATATAGAAATACTTTAAGCCTTTCCTGCTGTTGGCCCAGGAATCAGCTGAGAGCAAGCCCAAAATGGAAACTGCAATTCTGTCACCATGCCAACTGAACTATAAAGCAAAGTAAATAGGTAGCCATGACCCCAAGCGTATCCTGGAAGGTTTGGAAAAAGCGTTGACACTCCTGTTATTTCAGATCATAGACTGCTCCCTGTTTATGGATCTAGATCAGTGTTCTCCAACTCTGTGCATCACAAAGTTTCGAGGGCTTCCTAAAACAAACACTAGGCCTTATCTCCAGTTACTAATTGTGTATGTTGGTCTACTGCTGAGGACTTGGTATATGCAAGTTCTCACATGTCGCTGATGCTGCTGATTTGAGTCCCACACTTTTGGGGAATTATTCTAGGATTTGAGTATTTGTTTCTAACTCAGAATGCTTTGGACAGCTGATCACGTTTTCTCCAAAGTAACCCTTTAATATTCTTCTAGTTCATCTTTCCAGTTCACGGATAATTTAGTTCAGATGCTGGTAGCTTTTAGTACTTGTTGCTCTTTGTTTTAAGGAAGAAACTTTTCCTAGGTTCAGTAGTACAGCAGCCTGTACTTGAGAGGCTGAGACAGCAGGATCACTTGAACCCAAGAGTTCAAGGTCAGGCTAGCCACTGTAGTAAAACCCTGTGAGAGAGAGAGGAGGGGAGGGAGAGAGAGAGAGAACATAAAGGGACTTTTAGGATTACCACCTTGAAAGAGAAATAAAAATTTTAGAAACAGAAGTGAGATTTCTGGGATGCATGTTTCCTTTTATAGAATATATTATTATTTGTATATTTATGTCAATATTTTTAAATGGTGCTATTTTTTCTTGAGAACATTTAGTAACTCAAATATTTTAACACTGTATTTTAGGATCACTATGATTTTGGCATGAGGACTTTGAAGACAGTTTTGATAATGGCTGAAAAGAAGAAATATGAGTTTAAATGGTCAGTTGAATTTTGAAAATTTAGTGTTAGGTTCAGAGCGAGATATACCAGTGGAAAAATAATTCATAACATTTATTTTAAATAAAGAAAATAGGCAAAACCAGAAAGCTATTGGCATGACAGCAGAATGAATATAGTAGAGGTTATTGAGGACTATCAAGAGAAAGGAAAGTGAGCCAAATCTGATTACCTTTCCTCAGCTGACCCTGTTCTCTCAAAGTGCATTTACTTACACATAATAAAAGACACAGAGAAGTGAAGGCCCCTATCTAAAGGACAAATAATGAGAAATATGAATATACTTGAACATATAACCAGTACTCTACCCTTGTATTCCATATCTGAGAATTCAACTAACTGCAGATTGGAAAGGAAAATTGTATCTGTATATGTAGTATTAATGTTGTATTAGGTATTTTAAGTCATCTATAAATGATTCAAAGTAATATGGGAGAATTGTGTAGGTTATATACAAATATACCACTTTATATAAAACACTTGAATATACACAAGTTTTTGCACTGATAGGGGTCCTACAACCAATCCCTAATCAATACTGAGGGATAACTGCACCTGCATGAGAAATGTATCAAACCAATATGAGAAAAATCTTGTAATAGCTCTGCAAGGCAGTAATGGCAATGTGAATCACTGAAGCAAATACCACATTGTAATATATAATATCTTAAATTAACATCATAAAGGTTTAAGTATTCAGTATTATTTTATGAAAGGAAATGTTAAGTCATTTTTAAAAAATAACAAAAAGGGGACTAGGGAGATGATTCAGTGGGTAAGAGTACTTGCTCTGCAAGCTTGAGGACCTGACTTCAATCCCCAACACTTACATAATAAGCCAGGTGTGGGCTGGAGAGATGATGCAGCAGAAAAGCACTCACTGTTCTCGCAGAAGACCCAAGTTCGAATCCCAGCACTCACATAGCAGCTAACAACCATCTGTAACTCCAGTTCCAGGGAATCTGATGCCCTCTTTTGACATATTCAGGCACTGATGACAAGGGTGCACTTACATTCAGGCACAACACTCACAGACATAAATAATAAAATATAAAATAAAATAAATAGTAAAATTAAATAAAATAAATAAAACAAAATAAATAAAATAAAAACCAAACAAATAAATAAATAATTTTTTTAAAGTCAGTCATGGTTGCATGTGCCTATAAGCCTAGCTTTGAGGAGAAAAGACAGGTGGATCCCGAGAGTTTGCTGGCCAACCAACTAGCCAGATTTTTGGTTCAGTAAGAGACTCTGTCTCAAAACAATAAGGCAGAAGCAATGGAGGAAGACAGCCCATGTCCTCTTCTGGCCTCTGCATGTGTGCACATAGGCACTACCCACACACTCATGCCTATACCACATACCATGCATACACACACACGTACACAGGAAAATGTCTAAAGGGTTTTTAATTTTTAGGTGAACTGATTCTAAAATCCACATAGAAAAATAAACTAGTTAGAAAAATATTGAAATACAAAAGCAATTAAGGGGAAATGTTTTCTAAGGACTAAGTCATGTTACAAAGGTTCAATGATTAAAGTTTGAGGTACCTGTTGTCAACAGGCAAACCATTAAATAGAATAAAAAGTCCTGGAAATAGGACTGTATGCTTTGGACTACATGTGTATGGTAAACTGAGAGACAATAATAGACTTTTAATGATTATTGTCAGAAAAACTAGCCACCATCTGGGTAAAGATCAAACTGTGTCCATGCTCCAAATCATGTACCAAGATAAACTGTGAAAGAATCAAAGATTTAAATGCAAGAAAGCTTAAACATAAAAATATCGGAAGAAACAAATTATCTTCCATATTCCCAGAGCACAGAAGACATTTTCCCCAGTGCGAGGGACTGAACCTTGGGACTTTTATTAATTACCTGCCCATTGCTATGGCAAGTACTACCAAGATAACTTATGGAAGAAAGGGTTTGTTTGGCTCACAGTTTTAGAGTATAGTTCATTTTGACATCAAGAGCTTGAGGAAGCTGGTTATAGTGCATCCATGTTGAAGAAGCAGAGACCAACTCACTTTCTCCTTTTTTAAAAAAAATATGTATGCGTGTATTGCCTGCATGTAGGTAAGTGCACCCATGTCATGCAATGCCCGCGGAGGTCAGAAGAGGCTGTCGGATCCCCTGGGACTGGAGTTATGGACAGCTGTTAACTGCCATGTGGGTGCTGGGATTCGAACCCAGGTCTTCTGCAAGAACAACCAATATTCTTCACTGCTGAACTATCTCTCCAGCCCGCTTTCTCCTTTTCATTCAATGCAGAACCCCTGGAATGGTGTCACCAGATAAAGTGGGTCTTCCCAGTCTAATCAACCCCATCTAGAAACTGCCTCCTAGACATGCACAGAAGTTTGTCTTCGTGGTGCTTCTAAATCCCATGAAGTTGACAAAATTGACCATCACAGGCCTCATAGAATTGTTAAACTAAGACACAAAATCTAGAATCCATAAAAGAAAATTCTTTTAGTAACAGTTCTGGAACTGCTTATCTCAAAATATTTAAAGTCAATTATATAAAGATAACATTAAGACTTCTAATTTTTATGAAAGACATGGCAAACTAGGACAAGTAATACCTGCCAGTCATGCTGTAATAGCAGTGATTGTATTATCCCTGGATGGTCTATAAACTCCTTTTAAAAGTTAGCATCTCACAGACACATATTCTCTGTGTGTGACCAGTTGTGGAACTTTGTAATAGTCTCCATCTGTTGCAAAAGAAGCTTCTTTGATGAGTGGTGACTCGAGTGTAGGGAATAAGAGACTGCAGAGCATGGGTCCCTGGACAGGACTCCTGTATGAAACTTCCCCACCAGGGCTCAGGGACCATTGCAGAAGAGGGAGCAGAAAGAGTGTGAGAGCCAGGGGAGGAGGTGCAGGACCATAAGAAACAGAATCTTAAGGCTTCTGGGAACTTGCTCATATGAACTTACATCAATGGTAACAGCATGCACAAGACCCATACAAACTCAATCAGACAAAAACCAGAATAGAACTCGGAAAATGGACAGGAAGCCACAACCTTGGCAAGAAACTATTAGAAGCTGATCGCTGCTGGGTGAGGGAGAGTTGATTTTTTTTTAATTTGTTTTTATTGAATTTTTGTGTATTTTATAAAGAACATCTCAACCAATCTTAATCATCTTTATACCTTCTTCCCCACTGGCACCCTCTGAAAGCCCTCCCACTGGAATTCATACATTCTATCATTTGTGTTAAGGCCTATTGTGTAAAGTTAGTATACCCAGACATTACTCAGTGCAAGTTCATCTACTGAGGTCTAGTCAGCTTATCCAGAGTCCCTCACCTTAAGAAGATCAGCTCTTCCTCACCTAGCAGTAAGCAGTTGTCAATATTTCTTCAGCTAAGATTGGGGTCATCTGTCCATTTCCCCACTTCTATGTTGGGTTATTATCTGCTTGAGTTTGTATGGGACTTGTGTATGCTGACACCATTGCTGTAGATTCATATGAGCAGGATCCCAGGAGCTTGTAGGACTCTGTTTCCACAAGGTCATGCATGTCCTTCCTGGCTCTTACAATGCTCCCTGAGCCCTGGGTGGGTGAAGTTTAATACAGGAGTCCTGTCCAAGGACCAGCATTCTGTAGACTCTTAATCTCTACATTTTATGCTTCTGGCCCTCTGTTGCATGAGGGATCTTCATTAATGAGAATTGAGAGATCACTAGTGTCCTCTTCTTTACCTCTGTTTGATGTTCCATGAGCCTTAAGTGTAGAGGTTACATTATAGATGTTTCACTTAGGCCTGGGCCGTTCATAGACAGTGTCTGTGTGTGACCAGTTGTGGTACTTGCATAGTCTCTGACTGGTACAAAATAAGCTTCTTTGATAAGTGGTGACTGGGATATTTGTCTGTAAATATAAGGATACATATTTTGCACATAGTAAGAAATTACATTAGTCTAGGGATGTGACAGTCTTGGGGTTTTCTCTAAGATCTATGACCACTCCAGCCATGTGTATTTGGTTATGTTTACAGTATCACACTTGAGTTTCCTCCCATTGAGGAAACTCAATTTCCTAATTTCCAACAGCTACCCAATTTCTTCCAATTAGGTAGCTGTTGATTGCCCCCAAGATAAAAGTGCCACTACTGCACCAGTGTTGTATTCTGTGCTGGTGACTGATGTGGTTATTTGGTCTTGAAGCTAGTGTTGAACCATTGATTGATATTTTCTGTTGGCATCTTCTTAGTGCTCTCCACAGCTCTGAGAGCTAGCCTTCAGGGGAAGTGACTTCCAGGTCAGTTCCAGTTCCATTGCTCCAAATCCCGTGTCCGAAGTATGTTCTGTCTTCAGCAGCAGGGTCTTGCCTGCAAGTTCTGTGATGCAATCAAGGACTGCGGCAATAGCCTGTATAGGGTAGTTTCTTGGACCACCCTGGCCAACGACTCCAAGGACGGTTTCTCCTGTCTGAAGAGCTGATATTCTTTAAGGGAGTGACACTAGACAGATAGAAGAGGCTCTGGTGGATGAGCTCACACCGAGGAACATCTGGGTGTACAAAACTGACTCAGTAGGCCTTAACATTTATGACAAAATACATGAAGTTCTGTGGGTGGGCTAGGGGAGTTACAAATAGGGAAAGGGGGGCTAAATATAATTGAGATGTATTGTATGAAATTCACAAATATTCAAAAAAAATTTTAAGTAATAACATCTAACAAGAAAACAGAGTTTTCTAGACAGCTGGAAGTTACTCATATGAACTCACAACAATAGTAACAGTACGCATGAGATGCACGCAACCTCAAGCCAGACATAATCCCAGAATAGAAGTGGGGAAGTAAAGAAGCCCCAACTTTAACTGAGGAACTCTTGGCAACCAATAACTGCTAGGAAAGAGAGAGTTGGTTTTCTTTAAGGGTGTGATGCTAGGTAGGTTAACCAGGCTCCAGTGGGTGGACCCATACCGAAGGACATTTGGGAACACAAATTTGACTCGCTAGGCCTTCACGTATATGACAGAGTACATGAAATCCAGTGCGGGGGGAGGGGGAGATAAGAGGGCTGAAGATAGATGGGGGAGGTCTAAATATATATGAAATTCACCAAAATTCTATTTTTAAAAATAATATATTTTAAAGCAAATTAAGCCATTCTCAGAAAGTCAAATATTTTGTTTCCTTTCATATGTAGCTTGTAGATTTTATACTTAAATCATGTATGGATGTATGACATGACAGTAAAAGCAAAACTGTACAGAGGAACAAAGGGGATTCAGAGGAGGAGGCCGGGGCGGGGAAGCCAGACATGGGAAGAATAAGCTCAAGGTATATTATATTCTCAAGTTAGAATGTCCTTATGAAATACAGTGCTGCGTACACTGAATGTGCACAGTGAAAAGACTTAATGAAAAAAAGATAATTGAAAATGTCCATGTCTGTTAAAGAAATGGAATATCCAGTTGTAATCTTTCCTAAATGAAAAAAGAACAGCGAGGCCAACACCGCCTAGGAAGAAAACCTCTCTTTCACCACATTAAGTAGCTTTGAAAGATGCTGGGGTTGAGGAAATGAGCACATCTTTGGGGAGGTGTGGTTTTTTCATGCGTGCCATAGGCAGTTTTCTCCCTTTTTTCCCTTAGGAGAATTTCCTAAAACTCCTCTTTCCTTTAACACAGCCCTTTAATCCCAGCACTCAGAGGCAGAGGCAGGTGAATCTCTGTAAGATTGAGGCCAGCCTGGTCTACAGAATGAGTTTCAGGACCGCTAGGTCTACCAGGAGACCCTGTCTCAAAAAAAAAGACAAATTAATTAATTAATTAATTAATTAATTAATTAAATAAAATAAACCTTACCCAAGAGTCTGAGTCTTAGGACTCATGTGATAGGAAAAAATTGTTACTATCTTGAGAATTAACATCTTTTCAAGGATACATTTTTAACATTTAGAAGACTTGCCAGAGTATTAGACCAAGTCTCAGTTAATTCAAAGAAGTAAATTCATAAAGTCATAATGAGTAATGTTATCAGTTGGCCTTTTCATGAATCTTAGATTAGATGTTAACATTTATCTAAAACTTTGTGTATTCTTAAATTAAAATAGAACTGATGGTGGTTCACATGTTAGCCCCCAAAGTACTCTTTTATGAGACTTTAGTGAGGTGTTACCTTTATATTGAACGGCAACGTATTATAGCACTACTATATTTTACATAAGCTATTATCTCCCCGTATCTCTGTTTAACACTTGATCTCCAACTAGATGGTCTGGTCATCCTGTTCTGTTTTGTTTTTTGTTTTTTGGAGTTTTCTGGGGTTTTTCATTGTTTCAGTTTTGCTTTATTTTTATTTATTTTATGCGTATGAGTGTTTTACCTGCTTGTCTATAAGTGTACCCGTGTCATGCAATGCCAGAGGAAGCCAGAAGAGGCTACTGGGTCCCCTGGAACTGGAGTTAAGGACGGTTTGTAGCTGCCATGTGGGTGCTGGGAATCGAACCTGGGTCCTCTGCAAGAGCAGCCAGCACTCTTAACCCCTGAGCCATCTCTCCAGCCCCTACTTTTGTTTTTCATCATTTTCTTTAAAACAGAAGTAGTTTTGTCCTGGGGAAAAGATACCAAGAGGTCATGATTATTCCCTGGAGCCCCAGCAAAGGGCTGTGGAACCGTGTGTGCTTCCCTACCTCTGACATCAGGTAGACTCTTGTCCTCTCCCTGTAAAGCATGCACAGACTAAACACTCAGAGATGTGTTCTTATAAAAATGCAAAAGACTATTATCAGTCCCAATCCAATATGGGTCTCCCCCTGCAACAATGGAATGATGGAGTGGCTATAGGCATGGCCTATGAGCCCTCGCTGAGTTTCAATTCAGTTGTCCATTGTATTAGTCAGGGTTCTCCAAAGAAACAGAACCAGTAGAATGAATATATATGTATAGAGATTTATCAACTTAGCTCACAGGATAGAGTCCGAGTAGTCCAACAATGGCTACATCACATCTAGTAGTCACTCAGTCCACGAGGTTGGATGTCTCAGTAGTCCCAATCTAGTGCTGAAGGTCTGATGAATTCCAAAAGATTGGCTGGTCTTCAGTCTGCAGCAGCAAGACAAACTCACCAGCGAGAGAGAGAAGGCAAGTGGCAAAAGCAAATGCTCTCTACTGCCAAGGCCTTTTAAATGGGCTGCTATCAGAAGGTACCACCACATTTAGGGTGTGTCTTCCAGCTTCAGATGATCCAGTCAAGAAAATCTCTTTCATTTCAGTTAATCCCAGAGCCAGTCAAATTGACACCCAGGATTAACCATCACGTCCACGCACCATCGTTCTTCCCAAGATTGCTCCCTTTCCGTTTCTTAGGCGGTTCAAAAACTTAGTGGAATGACTTGTTGAAGAAATTTTAAAAGGTGCCTAGTAAAAGGTACTCAGTAAATGCTAGTTGTTATTTGTTACTTCTATCATATTTTTATCTTATGTGTATGAGTGTAGTGCCTGCATGTATGTAAATGCTCCTATGTCATGCAGTGACTTCAAAGGTCGAAAGAGGGCATCGGATCCCCTGGAACTGGAATGGTTGTTAGCTGCCATGTGGGTGCTGGGAATTGAACCTGGGTCCTCTGTCTGCAAGAGCAGCCAGCTCTCTTAACCACTGAGCCATGTCTCCAGTCCACTTCTTCCCATTTTGTAGGCTGTCACTTCACTCTGCTGACTTTTTGCTTTGCTGTGCACAAGCCTTTTAACTTCATGCAGTTCCATTTGTCAGTTTTTAGTTGTATTTCTTGAGCTATTAGAGTCCTTTTCAGAAAGTCCCTGCCTATGCCTGTATCTTGAAATGTTTTATTGAAGAAGTTTCAGTGTTTCAGATCTAAGCATATGAAGTTTGATCCATTTTCAACTGGCGTTTTGTGCAAGGTGAAAGCTATGGATTTCTTTTCAGTAATTTGCTTATGGACATCCAGTGTTCCAGTATCATTTGTTGAAGAGGCAGGCTGTTCCAGTGTATGCTTCTGCTCCCTTTTTTGAAAATCACATGCCCCTCACTGTGTGATTCTATTTTGGGTCCTTTGTTCCAACGGCCTGCATGCCTGTTTTTGTGCCAGTATTCTGCTATTTTTATTACTATGCCTCTGTAATATGATTTGAATTCAGGTAATGTGCGACCTCCAACACTGCTCTTTACAGTTACCATTGCTTTGACTAGTTGGAGTCTTTTGTGCTTCCAGATGAATTTTAGGGCTGTCTAGTTCTGTGCAATGGAATTTTAGTGAGAATTGTACTAAGTCTGTAGATTCCTCTTTATAATGTACTCATTTTCACACCATATTGAGTCTGCCGGTACCAAACATGGGAGATTTTCTCACCTTCTCATGTCAATTTCTTCACTGTTTTATAGTTTTCACTGTAGAGATCTTTTACCTTCTTGGGGCTTTTTCAGCTATTGTGGAGTAGGATTCTTCCCCTGATTTCTTTCTGAGTAAATTTGTTATTGGTATAGAGAAAACCAATGATTTGAGCTTCTGAATAAAATGGATGACTAGAGCTGCCTCTGTGTGAGCCAGTAAAGGAGATGGTAGTAAAGAAAAATGGACTTTATTCCAAAGAAAGAGAAGAAGAGCTTCAGAAATCCATGAAGAGAAAAGATGCCAGAAACGATCAGGAAAACAAGTTGTGACCCAAAGCAATGACAAGCCCAGCCACAGACGTGCACATCCCACAGTCGTGGGAAGGAGCAGAAGGTGCATCTGAAAGCAGGCTTTTCATTTGACTGCATTCATAAAAATTCTGTGTGTTTGTATTTGTTATGACCATCATCAGTCATTCAAGTGTGTTTATTTTTCTTCCGTTTGGAGGCTATATTTTTGTTTTCCTTACTCTAATTTTTTTTCATTGTCTTATTTACTTTATTTATTTATTTATTTTGGTCTTCTCTGTTTATATCTCTCCTCCTCTCTACATTTAATAGTATTTTGACTTTATCTTACTGTTTTTATTTTACTGCCCTTTTTCATTATTATTATTAATTTTAATTGAATTTAAAAATTGGGCTACAGCTCTGAACAGAGAGTTCGCAAAAGAAGAAATACAAATGACCACTAAATACTTTAAAAAGTATTCAACATCCTTTGCCAGCAGGAAAATACAAATTAAAACAATTTTGAGGGAGATGGCAAGATGGTTCAATGGGTAAAGGCATTTGCCTCCAGGCCTTAAAAAAAGAACGTGATTGGTGTTTAGTGTCAGCAAAACAGGCTTGCTAACTTGTTTGTTTTCTTCAATCTCTAAAGTGACAACAGTGACGAAGTTTCTGAAGCAGATGAATCTCTGATCATTATTGAGGCAGTCAGAGAAGCTAGTTTATCTAAGCTTCTTCCTGAAGATGTCCTACCTTTCGAAAAGATCATAGAAGATATTTTTTTTGGAATAACAGTTTCAAAAGAAAATCAGCCTGACTTAGAGGTACTAAGACCTTTGAAAACCATCACAAATTACTCATATATATAATATTAAGTTAAAATATGTTTGGATTTAAAACGCTATAGTTCTTCCTGAAGCACTCTATTCATCAGGGGACTAGGGGATAAAAGTATCTGCAGACTTTTTTTCCTAGGGGGCAGGGATAGCTTTAAGCACATGATGGTCTAATAGAACAAACAGGCAGTGAGGGTTGCCTATACTGAGTTCTCTGTTTCCTCGTGATTTGAATGATGAATGATATTTGCTCTTCCTACTTTGATGTAGTATCCTGAGATTAGTTGTAACATCACCAAAGTTACTCCATGTTCTTGGTAGAATTCTGTGTATACTGTATTCCAGCATGTTTCCACATGCCTTCCAGAGCTGTTTCCCTAAAACGTGATTGATCACATTCACAAAGCCGCTATTGGGATTAGCGTCACCTTCAGGACAAAATCAAAATTATTTCAACAAAGACTCACTATCACAATCTGGCTCTCCCAGGTGGTTGCCTTCCTCTACTTCCTCCTGTTCGCCCCGTTTTTCTACCGGAGCTTCTTCCTGTTTCCTAGCTCTCTAAACCTTTAAAATGTGTGGATTCTTTTCCCTTGGACCTGACTTGAGGTGTTTTTTTTTTTTTTCTTTAAGTTATTTTAGAAAATACAATATAAACAGCTTTATAGCTAGTCTTTAATACAAATAGTAGGGTAACAATCACAGAATACATATTTTTAGCACACATGAAGCACTTACCTTTCAAAAACTAACATAGTTGATGTAGGAAGGATTAGAAGAATTTTTCTTCAAGATCATTTAAGACTAATTTTATGATAATATTCGTCCGTCTATGATTCTTATCTGTGAAAATAATTCTATCTTAAACTTCATAGTTCTCCTTGGAACAGGTTTGCTAAACTAGAAAAATACTTGCATTTCATTCAAGTTTTAAAATGTATTAGTATTGGAATCAAGCAAATCGTCTTGATTCTTTCAATATCTTGCTTTCCAGATCATTCCCCAAATTACTTATTTTCCTAGTTTACGCTTTCTTTCTTAGACTACCTAGCACTTTTATCTAATTGTTTTTCTTAACCAAACCAATCTTCTGTTTCCAAACTCTGGCATCTGTTTGAATGTTGACTGTTTTTCTCTATTCTGGGTTTTGTTCGTTTTCCAGCTTTTTGAGTAAGATTTTTAAGTCACTTGGTTTCTTTTTTACTCATGTAAGTTTGTAAGACCAAAATTTCCTCCAAGCAAATGCTTTTTTGTGTCTGCTGAAATGATACTGTGCCTTTTGTTCCTCCTGCTGATGCAGTGACATTCACGCTTTCTGTTCTGTGAAGCCTCCCTACAGCCCTGGGATAAATCTCAGTAGGTCATGGTGATTTCATTGAGGATTTCTGCAACTGTATCCCTCAAGGATAGTATTGATCTTTAGTTTTCCTTTGTTGCTGTGTGTCCTTGTCCGGTTTTTATATCAGAATAATGTTTACCTTGTACAATGAATTTGGAAGAGTTCTTTCCCTCTAGATTAAAAAAAAAAAGTTTGAAAAGAATTGTTACATCTGGTCTTGGTCAACCAGCCATCTGGTTCTGAGCTTTTCTTTAATGGGAAACTTTTTATTATTGATTCAGTCTCTTTATTATTATGAGTTTCTCCAGGCATCTTATTTCTTCCTGATTTAGGCTTAGTAAGTTGCACATGTTCAGAAATTTGTCTGTTTCTTCTATATTTTCTCATTTGTTGGCATGTGATTATTCATAATTGTATCTAATGATCCTTTTTGATGATTGTGGTATTCATTGTAATGTTGCCTTTTATCTCTGGCTTTATATGAGTTTTCTCTCTTTGTCTAGCTAAACATTTTTAAACTTTACCTTAAAAAAAAAACTTTTGGGACTAGGATGGTAGCTCAGTTGGTAAAGTCCTTGCCTCCCAAGCATGAAGACTTGATGGGTTTTTTTTTTTGTTGTTGTTGCTGCTGTTTTTGACAGGGTCTCCCTAGTCCCAGCTCACCTGGAAGTCATGATATGGACTAGGCTGGCCTGGATCTCACAGATATTTGCCTGCCTCTGCCTCTCAAGGGCTGGGATTAAAGGTATGTGGCAGCATACCCAGCCTCCAAGCATGAAGACTTTTATACATGTAAAAAGTTGGGTGTGGTGTTACACACTCACAGTCCCTCTACTGGGGAGGTGGGGGCAGGAGGCTCACTGGGATTCCCTAGTGGGTCATTGCAGCCTAATTGGTGAGCTCTCAGCCAATGAGAGATCCTGTCTCAAAGGATGTGGACAGTGTTTCTAAGGATGACACCCAAGGTTGTCTTCTGACACGTACAAATGTGCCCATGCACCTGCATATATACCCATGCATGGGTACACACATGTTGCATAAAAAACTTGGTTTCATTGGCATTTGTATTTTCACCTTTATTCTTTATTTTTTATTTAATTTATATTTCTTCTTTTTTGATAGTGATTAGTCTATAAACTTCCAAGTCCTATTTTTGCTATGATCCCATTTGTCTCAATACATTTTATAATTTCTAGAATAATGAGATGGCTCAGTAGGTAAAGACACTTTCCACTTAGCCAAACAACCTGAGTTTGACCTAGGTCCAACATGGTGGAAGGAGAGAAGTACCTCCCACAAATTGTCTTCTGACCTCCACAATTGCACCATGGCACACAGGGGCACATACACACACACACACACACACATTTACAAACGATTTCTTCATTAGCTTGCTGGTTCTTCTGGACATTCCTCCTGCTACTGATTTCTAATTTTATACTATTGTGGTCAGACATGACACATCTTATGATCTCAGTTGTTAAAAATTCATTGATACTTATTTTGTGGCCAATGATGAGATATATGTGGGAATTTTCCATGTGTTGTTAAGGAGAATATGTTTTTAGCAGCTATTGGATGAGATGTTCTGAAAATGTCTGCTAGGACCTTTAGGACTCTGTCGTGCCTTTGTTCACTTTCTGGCCAGGGGTTCTGCTTTTTGATCAACACAGAATGTTGAAGGTGTGTGCCACCACCATGTTGGAGTGTGTGCCTCCCATGAGCTCTGTTAAGAATTGCTTTATAGTGGTTGTCCTGATTCCTTTTGCTGGGATACCGAATATCTTTCCAAGCTACAACTACTCGGGTATTTTGATGAAGTGTATTATGTTTTCAATCTTATCAACTTTATTTACTGTCTTAGAATATTCTTCTCATCGAAACATTAAAATAATCAAACAAAATTTGTTCATTTATTTTTATTTATATGTATGAGTGCCTGCGTATGTGTAAGACACCCCTGTGTACAATGCCTGCAGAGACCAGAAGAGGACTTCAGTCCCCTGTAACTGAAGTTATGAACAATTGTTAGCCACCGTGTGCGTGCTGGGAACTGAACCTGTGTCCTCTGCAAAAGCAGCTAGGACTCTTAACTGCTGAGCCAGCTGTCCAGCCCCAATCATTACAAAATTGAAAACCTACCTTAACAGTGATTAGAATTACAAAAAGATACAGGACACTTTGACATTTTCTTTTACTGTAGGATGATTAAAGGTGTGTAGCTTGTTCTTAATGTATCCTAAAGTGTGGGTTCTTGGTGTGGGGGCAAGGAATTACGAATTCACTACCAAAGATGTGAAAACATGAAAGTTTCTGTGTGTTGTCTTTTTCTTGAGAGAATAATGATAGTTTTCATTATTTTTAAAGAAAGAAGTTAATTAACTAAAAAATGAAAAATATTCTCCTAAACTAAGTAATAATTCCTAGTTAAGATTAAGATTTAAGGATTTGAGATGGAGGTGTGGCTCAGTGGTAGATCATTTGACTAATTTGTGAAAGGCCCTGGTTCCATCCCCAGTATGCAATCAGTCAGTCAATCAATCAGTCAATCAATCAATCAGTAAATAAATAAGTATGCAGTTTATAGTACACTTTAAGTTAATGTATGCATTTCCTTTTAGAAAGCAATATACATCGCAACAGAACAATTAGGATTTCAGCACTGGCCACCTCAGAAAGAAAAGATCATACAGTTTTATAATCAACTTAAGGTAAGTACAGAATGGCATGACAGCAGTTCTCTGCTTGAGTTTCAGAGGTAAGATCAACTACAAAAACATAGTAACAAGAGAGACCTGTTATTATAGTCTTTGAAGTATGATGGCTTATTAAGTATTTTCCTAGACTTTTGTGTGCCTCACCTTAAGAGACTGATATTTTTACTTTTATCCCATTAATATGTATTTGACAAATGCAGTCTGAAATGTTGTGTATACAGGTGCCACACCTTCTTTAAATGCCTGTTCTCCATGGCTGTGAATGTATGTAGCCTATTTTTTTTTGAAACACCAGAATGTGCAAGCCCTGGTTACTTATAAGATTATATTGTATGTCTGATTTCACCGTTTGTGTTTTCTATGAATTGCCAGATCGCATAAGGTACTCATTTTTCAGTTGGTTTTATTTTTCTTAGTAAATGTGTAGATTTCTCATTTTATGTCTTATTTATTGGTTACGTGCATTATGAGAAAATTCCCTAAGTCCTGGCTTTTAGGAATATTTACTGTGTTATTGTGTTCAAGTTGTGCTGAAGGCAATTTTAATGCCGTAAAGCCTCTTTCCTTTTATAGTTTGTGCATTTTGTATCCTATTTTTTTAAACTATCTTTGTAAAGACATTTTCTGTGATTTTTTTCTTAAACATTTTAAATATTCAAACTTTTCAATTTTTAGTTGTGTGGAGCTTCTTTTTTTAAGGTTTGAGGTAGGGATTATTTTTTTCTAGATGGGTGGCCAGTTTCCCATGGCTTTAAATCATTGACTTGATACTTAGCTTGTCAAGTTTTCATATCTAATAGGGTTGATTTTTTTATTGGAGCCTATTTCTCCATTTCTATGTCTGTACCACATAGTTTATTAGCAGATCTTTATATCTGATGGTGCCAGTCTCCCACTTTTGTTATTTTTTAATTTCCCTTGGGCTACTTTTTGGGGAGCTGGAGTCCTTTCTCTTGGATAGACATTTTTAAATTAGCCTGTTGACTTCTATTGAAAGTGTCATTTTCAGTTTTGATATAGAATTGAACTAATAATTATAATGAAAATTTTCATCTCATATTGCATATACATGTATTTGCAAAGATTTTATGCAGCTTGTCAAGTTAACCTGTCCCAAGTTCATGTTGGCAGAACTAGACTGCTAAGTAAAAGACAAGAATGATTTATTACAACAATAGCAGTAGACAGAATAACAATATTTGTACCAGTTCCCCAAGACTTCATTTCCACAGGTGACAAAGGACTAAGTAACGCCGGCACACACAGTATGTTATGTTGTAAGAAAAGAGCCTTGAGCTTAGCAAGCCCATCCCTAGTCTTACAGGAATACTGGCAACAAAAATTACCTAATCACAATTGTAGCCCTGGCTGGCCTAGAACTCACTATGTAGACCAGGATGGCCTTGAACTCACAGAGATCTGCCTGCCTCTACCTCCCAAGTGCTGGGATTAAAGGTGTGTGCCACCATGCCCAGAATGAAGGACACTTTTTTTTCTTTTAATGTGGATACTAAATTTGTTCTTACCTGGGGATAAAGCTGGGTGGTAGAGTGCATGCTTAGCACTTACTGAGACCCTGGGGTCGATCCCCAGCATTCCCACCCCAAATCTCCCTCTATTTCACGAGACATTGTCTATGTCTTCCAAAACTGTTCATTAGCAAGCATTCTTGAAAATATAAGTCTGAACAGAGCTGCTAATGCCTCTGTTCAGAAAGCATGTACAAATATCAAAGACCTGGGGCTAGAGAGATGGCTCAGTGGTTAAGAGCACTGGCTGTTCTTGCAAAAGACTGGGGTTCGAATTCCAGCATCCACATGACACCTAACAACTGTCTGTAATTCCAGTTCTAGGGAATCCGACGCCCTCTTCTGTCCTCTGCAGGCATTGCACGGCACAGGTACACTTACATGCAGGCAATACATGCATACATGTAAAATAAAAATAAATAAAATATTTTTTAAATATATGAAAGACCCATGAAAAATTGCCTCCCAAGAATATCCACCTCTCATTCACACACTGTCTTGGCTTCTGGTGAATCTCTCAAGAGTACTGTGTTTCTCTCAAGTGGTCTGTATTGACCACTCTGGTTAATCTTGCTGACAAAGCTTAAGACCAAAAATGTGTTTACGTTATTTGTACAAGACTTAAGACTTCCATCAACAAGACACTCAACAGTGTACAAGGCCAACCTAAACATCAGTCTCAGTCATTAATACCCACCTAATGTCCTTGGCCCAAACAGCTGAGCAAATTCCATATCCCATCAGAATCTACCTTACAGAGCCAGATGGAATTCCAGTAAGTTTCTGTATTAACCACTCCTATTGATCGTTGAAGTATTAATCCAGGTGTGTACAGATTTTTACGTTGGCCCATAAGGAGGATCTAGTGCAACTTAGTCTCCATTGTAATACTGGCCTGGTGAATTGAAGCTGATCTGAATGCCTTTCTGGGGTGCAATCAGATTGTGTTGAGGAGGAAGACTAGTTAATGCCTGGGCCTGGTTTTGGCATCAGAAATGTAGACGTAAGGATGCACATGGTTTATTCACTTAGAAAGGATTTTTTTAGTTGTTAGGTTTCCTAAGTGTGACCTACATCAAGTTCAAGGTGAGGACTGGGGAGGTTGGCGGTGCCCCAGTGTCATTCTCATTCAGTTCTAACAGTCCTCCTTCCTGTGTGGAATGACTGCTATGGTCCAGCATCATCTGTTTGCCATGCTGTCAGCAAATGTCACCTATCTGCCCCATGAATGACTGTGGGAATGGGGGATGTGGGTGAGTGCTAGAGTATGCATACACATGAATGACTGTGGGAATGGGGGATGTGGGTGAGTGCTAGAGTATGTATACACATGAATGACTGTGGGAATGGGGGATGTGGGTGAGTGCTAGAGTATGTATACACATGAATGACTGTGGGAATGGGGGATGTGGGTGAGTGCTAGAGTATGTATACACATGAATGACTGTGGGAATGGGGGATGTGGGTGAGTGCTAGAGTATGTATACACATGAATGACTGTGGGAATGGGGGATGTGGGTGAGTGCTAGAGTATGTATACACATGAGCGATCTCACACACACACACACACACACACACACACACATACCTCTGTTCCCCCTTTTTCCTGCTTTTGTGTGGTGCTGGGGATTGAATTGAACATTCTGGGCAAACACTTTGCCATAGAGCTACACCCCCTGCTTTTCTTATTCTCACAAGGCCACTCACTGATCACCACTAATCACACCATGGGCATCCTAACCTCAAATATCAGTCCATAACAGCAATATAAGGTGATTGTGGTTGAGATGGAAAGGAGATGAGTCAAACAAATGTTTTGGAAGAGATGAATGAAAAACCTATAAATATTCTCCTTTGAGCAATTAATGCATAAAGGTAGCAGCAAGTGTGGAGAGACAGTATAAGTGAATTACGTTGCGTTTGAGAACCACATGAAACATCTAGATGGAAATGTTTAATAGAACCAAAGACTGATAAAAATGTGTACATTACAGTATCATCAGCATCTAAGTCATAATTACAGGACAAATTGATAAGCCTGAAAGAAGCCATGTACAAAAGAGAAGAACTAGAATGCTCTAGGAAAGTCTAGCATGAAAGTAAAAGAAAAAGATTAAAGAAGAAAGTCGTGATAAAGCACATCACAGAACCCAGTAGTACAAGCTCCACGTGGAAAGGAGACGTGGAAAGGCAAAACAAACTGCTGAACATCAAGAATTGAAAAGTATTCTTTGATTCTTAAGTTTAGGAGAGGTCTTGTCATTTTAGCCTTGGACTACTCATTAAAAGCATGAACCAGACTACAATGGATTGAACAGGAATGTGAAGGACGACCAGGTTGACAGAAGCAGAGATGTATTTGTTAAGAAACTTAAGTAATCCGTAAGTACATGAGTCTGTGAATCTTGTTTTAGGCTTGTGTTGGTGTGATGCTAGTGGGCCCAACAGGAGGAGGAAAGACAGCAGTTCGAAAAATTCTAGAAAAAGCATTGATGTTACTTCCAGTTGCAGACATCTTATCGCATAAAGAAAGGCTGTCTATTTCAAAGGTAAACATTCTACTAAATAAAATGTCTTCCATGTGTGCATATCATATTTTATACTCCAGTTCAATCTTCTATGCTTTTAACAGCTGTTTTCATTGCTTCCTGGATTTATCGCTAGAAATTTTATAGTGAGAAATAATTACAGTAAACAGGATTTTGTAGATTTCAATCTCAAACTAACAATCACTAGTATAAACTAAAACTTTTGAATTATATATTTATTTTCTATTTAACTACTATACTGAATTGATTTGTAAGGTACTAATTTGCTTGCTAGGTACTAATTCAATCACATTTAGATAAAAACAGTTATACCTCTTTTCCAATTTATGTAACTTCTCTCATGGTACTGTTGATTTACCCTCCAGAACAATATCAGCTGTGGTTTTCATTCCTTATTTTTGTCTGGAATCCATGTAATATTTCTGTATTTAATATGATAACTCTTCATCTCTAACAAGTATTCTTCATCATATTCTGGAAGTTTTTGTTCCCTAAAACTTTGGGGGTTTTGATGATTGGAATTTATAAAATGATTGTCAGCATCTCTTTTGTCTTTTAAGTGGTTGACATAGTAAGCTACATTGCTATGTTGATAGATTTATTAATATTAAATAAATATTGAATTGTCCTTTAATTTTCAGAATAGCCCCTATGTAATCATGACACATTTTAATGCAGTGTAAAATCAAGACTCCAGTAAATCATATGAACTTCAGTTATTTAAAGAGTCACTATTGGTAATATATTCCAAAGTCTTAGTCAGGTTTTTAGTTGTGTGGAATTTTTTTTCTGTTAGTATGAAAGTTCCTCTTCAGAATTGTTCATGTTGTAGCCTCTAATTCTTTATCATTTTCTATAAATTCCCCTTCTAAACAGATCCCAACTATTCCTTACATAATAATTGTGATTGATAATATGTGAATTATACACTAAGACCAAGCAGGATTCATCCCAGGAATGCAAGGGTGGTCCAACATGAAGTCAATGTAGTACATTTAATAATAGAACAAGAGAGGCCACATGATCACATCAAGTCACGGAAAAAGAATGCAACACCTTTTTACATCCTCCCATAACAAAAAGAGCAAAAACAACAGCATTCAGAAAACCAGGAACAGAAGGAACTTCCTTAGCACAATAAAGGGACTTGATGGAAAATCCACACGAGCATCACAGTCATGGTTACAGATGGAAAGTTGTTCTCTAAGATTAGGATAAGGATTCCCTTTAGACCCTTGCTACTAAACATTACACCAGAAGTCTTAGGCGGTTTAAAGTGATGAAAGTGCTGTAAAGAACAGTTTGGGTGGTTCCTCAAGAAGTTAAAGATAGAATGGGCCAGTGAGATGGCTCAGCTGGAGAAAGGCACTTGCTGCCAAGCCTGACAACTTCAGTTCAATACTGAGGACCCACATGGTGGAAGGAGAGAAGCGATCCCTCCAAGTTCTCTGACCTCTGTGTATGTACCATGGCACACATGTACCTTTACACATACACACAAAACAAATAAGTAAATGTAATGAAGAAGTTAAACATATACAGAACCAGATTATTAGACTGGTATTTGTGAATTTTTTAATGGGGCGGGATTGATTTGGGGCATACGATACTAGGTAAGAGGATAAGCGTAAAAATTGAGATTACATAGTACTGCATCAATTATTTGAAAACAAGTATGTTCTATTATTCAAAGAAAAATATTGCTTTCTCTAATACTAATGTAGAACTGTCTATTTTTCCTATTGGTCCTCTCAGTGCTTGCTAATACATTCTGGGGCTCCGTCGTTTGGGATATATATGTTTTATCTTCTTGATGAATTTATACTTTGATTAAAATTCAGTAGTTTTTCCTCTAACAATTTCTTTTACCTAAAATCTATTTTGCCTGATATTAGTATACCTACCAAGCTCTGCTTTAGTTACTATATAGAAATTTAGCATCTTTTACTTTTAAACTATGTGTTTGAAAACAAGTTTGCCTCATTTAAAGTGAGTCCTTTGTATGCAGTGTGTGTTTCAATCAGGTTTTGGTCTTTTCTCCATGGTGCTATTGTCTTCCTTTTAAGTAGGAGATTTAATACATTTACATTTAAGATGATCGCTCACCATGCAGCACTCCTGTGTTTCTGCTGTTTTCCTGGGTTTTATATCTTTTTGTTCCTCAACTGATCTGGGACTGCCTTCTTGAGTGTTTAATATTTTTCCTGGTGTACCTTTTCAATCTCCTCTTCATTTTCTCTTCTATATTTTTTAGTTATTTCCTTAGTAGTTACCTTGGGGTTACACTTACTGTCTATGAGTTACATTGCATTGCCTTAAAATGTATGTGCTGAATCCCTGACTGACAGTACCACAGACTATTCTATATTTGGAGGCAAGCCCTTTACAGAGTTGAGGTTAAAATGAGACTTCTTAGGAAAGGCCCTAATCCTATATGATCATTGTCCTTATGAGAGGAGGAAATTTGGAAACATAAAGAGACACTGAGGATGTATACACCCAGACAGAAAGGCCTATGGGGTCACAGCGAGAAAGTATGGTCTGTAAGCCAAGGAGAAAAGCTTCAGGAAAAATCAGCCCTGTTTCCTTTCACCTTTGTTTTCTCATCTCTAGAAATATGAAAAAATTACTGAAGCCATCGAGACTGTGTTTTATTATAGAAACCCCAGCAAACAGAACAGTAGCCTAAATAAGTACCAATATAGTGTGCCCAGTAAACAAAACAATATCCAAAATAAGTACCAATATAGTGTGAATTGACACCCTCTTAGCTGTAATAGTGTGTGTCCGTTCTCCTAGCCATTGAACTACACTCCTGCCAAGTGCATGTGTCTTGGCTGTTATTCCAACACTTCCTCTGTTTATACAGCTGGTTTTGACTCTTAATTTCCCAACAGTTCTTGCTACAACTTCTCCCTGGAAGCCTTAGATGATCTGCTGTATGTCTGTGCCCATATGTCTTGCCTTCTGCAGGTCTGTTTCCCTTCAAACATGCCTGCCCCTTTCCCTGCTTAGATCTGAGTTAGATGAAGCAGACAACAGTTCCTCAGGAGGGACCCAAACAAGTTAGAATATTGCGAATATGATATAACTGGACTAAAAGTGTGTCATGTCCCCTTGCCTTTCAGTATTTCACCCTGTCACCCAACACATCACACCCCAATCAAAAGTCTGTGTTCCTGGATGGTACACAGTGAGATTTATTTTTCTGAAGTAACTATTTGTGATATTTAGAATTTTTAATAAAGTATTTTTGTATTATATCTGATATAGGCAAGTCAATGTTGCCCATTCCTCATTAGTTGCCCCCTTTATAGGGACTTTTTCTTTGATGTGAAAGGTTTTTCCTAAGATCCATTGGTAACAACAGTACAAAAAAATTAAATAATTGTACCATATCTAATTCCTTTAAAAACAACACTGGATTTACCTCCCTTCCCCCAGATTCCAGGAGGAAAAAGAAAAGTAGATGTTTGTGTTTTAAATCCAAAATGTGTCACTCTGGGTGAACTGTATGGACAGCTGAACCCTAACACTACAGAATGGAAGGATGGACTGTTAACAGCAGCAATCCGAAACTATGTGTATGCTTGCGCTGAGGAATACACAAAAAAAGACAACACTCTTGGACTAATGTCAAGAACCACAGATTTATCTAATGTAAGTTTAGTATGGAATGAGTTTTTTCACTTGACTAATGTGGAGTCTTGCACAAAGACCAATAGTAAAGCATCATTAGCTATTTACATAAAAGAAAAAGTTTAAAGTATTATAAAGTGTCCTCTTGCAGAGGACCCAGGTTCAATTCCCAGGACCCACATGGCAGTTAACAACTGTCTGTAACTCCCGTTCCAGGGTATCTGATGCCCTCTTCTGACCTCTGCAGGTATTGCATGACACAGGTGCACTTACATGCAGACAATACACTCACATACATAAAATAAAAAGTATTTTTTTAAAACATGAAAATTATGTTATTAAAAGTAGAAAATATGCCATTGAGTTCTTTTTACTTTTGGAATTTTTAAGTTTATTATTTTTAAATATGTGTATGCATGTGTGTCTGTTAGGAGGGTATGTGCACATGAGCACAGGCTCCCACAGAAGCCAGAGGTGTCAGATCTCCCTGGACCTGGAGTTACAAGTAGTTTTGAGCCATCTGACGTGGATGCTGGGAACCAAACTAGGGTCTTCTGCAAGAGTGGTACATGCTCTTAGCCACTCTCTCTAGCTCCACCACTGAATTTTTAAGTGGTCAGTAAACCATAGAATGAAGTTAAAGATAACTGCTATGAAAGAAATGCAAAGGGAATTACGTCTGAATGGGGAACAACCGACTACTTCAGCATCACCAGTGTATCTTACTAAAGCGAAAACGATGTTTTAGTAGAAAATGAATGAACTGTTTAATACAAAATTCACCGAAGAATAAATATAAGTGGCTAAAAATTTGCAGAACTTTTCTTGTTAGAATAAGGAAGTGTTTTGTTACTTTTCAGTAGGTAAGAAATACTAGCAAAAAAGTGGTATTTGAAACCAAAGAAATGAGTATTTGAGTTCCACCTGCAGAGTTCCACCTGCAGATACACGAGCCTTTCCAGATTGTTTTTCTAGTTCTGTGAAGAACATCACTGGTGTTTTGGTAGGAATCACCTCGACTCTATAGTATGGACGTTTCACAATATTGATATTCCATTCGTGGTCATGAAGTAGCTTTTATTTCTTCATGTTCTCATCAGTTTATTTCATCAGTGATTTATCATTTTATTGTAGAAATATTGCATGCCTTTGATTAATGTATGTAATTTATATAATAATCTCTGTCTAGGTATTTTGCAGGTATTTCACATAAAACTATTTTCCAAATTTTTTTTGGTCAGTGAATTTGCTATCAGTGTATATAAGATCATATCTTCTGTAGTTAGAGATGAATTTTACTTCCTCCTGACCAGGACATCCAGTACTGTTTGTAGTTAAAGAGGTGAAAGTAAACGTCTTGTCTTGCTGCTTCCACCGCTAATTCATTCAGAGTTTTATCATTAACAGATACTGAATGTTACCAAGTCCATTTTCTGAATCTGTTGAAATGATTATACATTTTTTGTGCTTTGTTCTGTTGATGACATATATCAAATTTCCTTTGTATGTGGTAAGACACCCTGACATCCTGGGGATAAATCTCACTTTGTCATAGTTAAATGTCCTATTAGATTTGGTTTGCTAGTATTCTGTGAGGATTTTCAAATTCTTTTCATTAGGTAATTTGCCCATAGCTTTTCTTGTTGTCTTTGTCATGTCTCTTGGGATGAGTCAGAAGAAGTCCTCCCTCTTTAATTTTTCAGAGTAATTTAAGGAGCATTAGTATTGGTTCTTCTCTAAGTGTTTAGACTTCAGCAGTGAAGCCATATGGTCCTGGGCTTTTGTTTGAGGAGTAGCTTTTTTATTGCTGTGCAGTCTCATTACTCCTGATCACTCTTTCAGTGTTTTCTGTTTCTTCTTTATTCAGTCTCGGTGCAGTGTACATGTCCCAGAATTTGTCCTTTTAGTTTTTTCAGGTGTGTTGGCATATCATTGTTTTAAATCTGTTCATCCTTTAAATCTGTTCATCCTTTTTAAAGTTTCTGTGGTATCCTTTATAACGTCTCAGTTTTCATCTCTGATTTTTTTTTTTTTTTGAATCTTCTCCTTTTCTTGGTCTAGCTAAAAGTTCATCTAATATTCTTTTTTAATATTTTATTATTTTTTTATGTCTGAGTGTATTGCCTGCACGTATATAAGTGCACCCATGTCATGCAATGCCCACAGAGGTCAGAAGAGGGCATTGAATTCCCCTGGATGTGGAGTTATGAAGGATTGTTAGCTGCCATGTGGGTGCTGGGAATCGAACCCAGGTCCTCTGCAAGAGCAGTCAGTGTTCTTAACCACTGAGCTATCTCTCCAGCCCCTCATTTATCTTCTTAAAGAACCAAGCCCCCGTCCTTTTATGCAGAACTAGAGACTGAGTTCAGCATCCTGTATATAGCGGACAAGTGTTCTGCCACTAAATTTTATCTACAGCCACCCCTCCACCCCTTTGAGACCAGATCTCTCACTAAGTTTCCCATGCTGGCCCCAAACTTGTGATCCTTATACTCTAGCATTCTAAGTAGCTGAGGTGATAGGCCTTGCACCACCATGCTCAGACAGTTAGTTCCAGCACTTGGGAGACAGAGGCAGGCAGATTTCTGTGAGTTCAAGGTCAGCCTGGACTACAGTTCCAGGTTAGCCAGGGCTACAGAGAGACTCTGTCTCAAAAAGACCAAAAAAAAAAAGTAAAATTCCATATTTTTTATTGTTTTAAAGGTTTTTATTGTTATTCATATTATATTGTGGTCATAAAACACAGTATGATCAATTTCGGGGATATATTCAGGAGGATGTTCCTCATGTCAATGAGAAGAGTGTTCTATAGCTGTTGATTAGGCTGTATGGGGCCATGTATGTATGATAGGACCATCTGGGCTAGGACACAGTTCATTTGTGCGTTCTTTGCTTATTTCTTCCCAGATGTTCTGTTTATTGGTGACGGTAGAGCGGTAAAGTCCTCTGCTGTTATTATATTAGAGTCTTTCTCCCTTTAGTCAATTGATGTTTGTTTAATATATTTGGTGCTCTGATACTGAGCTGTCATATATTTGTAATTGCTAAGTCTCTTGGTAAGTTGATCATTTATCATTATAACCTTCATATATTAACCTTCTTTGTCTCTTTTTGCTGTATTTTGTCCTTAAAGTCTATTTTGTCTGATGAAACTATGACTAACCCAGATTCCTTTGGGGTTCTATTCACACAGAACATCTTATTACATCCCTTCACTTTTGGTCAAGATATGTCTTTAGAGGTGAAGTGAGTTTCTTGTAAGTAGCATACAGCTGAGCATTTGAGCCTTTCTCTAAGTGCCATCCTCTTGTTCATGGACAACCTCCTGGCAGCTGTGTCCCCAAAGAGACAAACATCACCTGCCAATGGCTGCTTCTCCCCTGTCTGTGCTAGAATTTTGACTGGCCTTGATCTTGATCAAGCCTTGTGCATCAAAGGTAGTAGTGAATGGTTATGATCAAAATACATTGCATAAATGTATATAATTTTCAAAGAGTAGGATCCGAGTGCAAATGATTATGACTAGTAATAATCAGATACATACAGATTAGAGATGCATGCGCCAACATCTCAGTGTTAGTAGCAAAAACAATGAGTCTTTCTGTAAGAAACAGTATATTTTCGAATGAAATGGAGATCTTTTTTGAAGGTTAAAAACTCATTCAATTTTATGCCTTACAGGGCTTATACTGAGTTCAATATTGTATAACTGTATTGATTCAACAGAGAACCTAGAAATTTTATAGCCACTTTTGAAGGAGCTGTGTCTTTGCTCTGGAAACTGTTATTGGGCATGTTAAAGCTGTAATGATATGCCTCTTCTAAAAAAATTTTTTTAATAATATTTTTTTAAATTACCTTTCAAATTATAAAAATTAAGTACTGTAAAAAAATTCAAAAAATAAATACAAAATACATAAAAATAAGAATAAAATGTCAATCACTAAGGAATGACTTGAAGTCACTCTGTGCTTTTTAATTGGAGAGTTTGGTTCATTCACATCTGATGGTTGTTTATATTATAGGTAATGTCTTTCTACAGTTGTTTGTAGCTTGTTTCTAGTTTAATGGAAATGTTTTCCTTCCTCTCTCTCATAATCTTTGCAGGTTTACAGTAATTTTCTTTAGTAATACATTTTGATCCCTAGAATATTGTGTTAATCAGCTTCCCATCACTATGTCAAAGTATTTCAGTGTTTTAGAGAGTTTAGTCTATGGTTGCTTGCCTTTTGTTATAGGCTTGTGGCAAGACCAAATATCATAGGAGGGAGGGTATATTGGCATAAAACTGCTTACCTCATGACAGCCAAGAAGCAGGTAGGGGAAAGAACAAAATATGTCCTTCAAAAACATACCCCAGGCACCCAATTCCTCCAACTAGGTCCCACGTTCTAATGTTTTACCACCACCCAGGAAAGGAACACCAGCCGCTGGGGTTCAGGCCTTCAGTACATAAGCCTTTGGGAAACAGTCCAGATCCAAACCAAACAGTTGGGAGGCAGAGGCAGGCAGATTTCTGTGAGTTCAAGGCCAGCCTGCTGTAACATAGCCAATTCCAGATCAGCCAGGGCCACACAGTGAGACCCTGTCTAAAATAAACAAAAAGGCTATATTGCAGTGAGAGCTGCTTAACATTGATCATGAAGATTGGAAAAGATGAAGAAAATTACTGGTAAAAATGCTGCATTTTGATTAATCATTATATTTTAGGTTTTCCAAGTTGGTTCCTGTGCTATAGGAGATATTGATAACAACACTTCTATGAAGCAAGTAGAGAAAGATGTCAAAAATTTAGAAAGTCAGGGTAAGTTTCATTATTAAATTCAGTGTAAGTGATTAATAGGAAAAGAGACTGAGCAAATGTGAACTATACTTATATCTTTAATTTTTGACTAGTAATATTTTTATTCTTGCACAATTTACTTTTTTCTCATGCCTTAAAATGTATAGTTCTACCACATACAGTATTACATATATATATTTGCCTTGTTTTTGGGGGGGTGGTCTTTTTTGTTGTTGTTATTTTGTCTTTTTTTTTTTTTTTTTTTGTAGTCCCACCTGACCTGAACTCACTATGTAGACCAGGCGGCAAGTGCTGTACCACTGAGCTAAATCCCCAACCTCACACACACGCACACACACACACACACACACATATTAATAAATAGCTCAAGTAGCCCTTCAGATTATAAATACCTATTTGTTGCAAGGACTAAAGAAGTATTAGTGATAGGAAGAATTAGCAGGAACAACAATTATGTAGAAGCACAGAGGCAGCCTGAAATAGCACTGTCTCTGCCTGGGGACGCCAGATGAGCTACACATCACCAGCTATATCACACCATCCCAGCAGACTCATCTCAAATGAGTTCCATGCCCAGTATATATCGGATAGTTCACTGTGAACCAAAGACAGAATGGATGTAGAATTTGGTCCCTACCCCAAGGGAGCTGCCAGTCTACCAGAAGTGCCTCAGCCCTTGTTTTTCCTGCCCCAGAGTAAACCTCCTACCAGCTCATTCACCAGCAATACATATTCGTGATCCACACTTTAAAGAAACTTCTCCTGCTGATCTACTTTCCTGGAGTTTTGTGTGTCATTTCAGGAGAGTACAGTAACTCGGCATAGTTAGTCTTACTTCTGAGGCTTTAGAACAGCTGCAAGACAGGTATTTCAAGCAGGCAGAGCCTATCTTCTTGGTACTGGTTCTGTGGACTGGCCCCTCCTCTCTGGTTCCTCTGGGACACTTCAGTGTCTTTTAGGTAGCTAGCTATTTTCTGTCCACACAGTGACTTCCTTTATGTGGACCAATAGATTTTCTAAAATTACTGAGCATGGTGGTATGTATTCCAGTAGTATGTTGTGCTCTGTTCTGAATGTTGGTATATATTCCAGTAGTATGTTGTGCTCTGTTCTGAATGTTGGTATATATTCCAGTAGTATGTTGTGCTCTGTTCTGAATGTTGGTATATATTCTAGTAGTATGTTGTGCTCTGTTCTGAATGTTGATATCTCTTCCCCAAAATTCGTATGTTAAAGTCCTAACCCTCAAAGTAATGATTTTAGAAGGTGAGCTTTGAGGAAACAATTAGGTCATGAGTAAGGGTTCTCTGCCCTCATGAGTGGAGTTAGTGCCCTATAGATGTGCTCTGTCCTTGTTAATGGAATTATAGTGCCCTTGTAAAAGAGACCAGGGACAGTGACAGCAAGAAGCTTCTTCCTTTGAATCTAGAAGCTGGCCCTTATCAAACAATCTCCTAGTACCTGGATCTTGGACTTCCAGCTTTCAGAGCTGCAAAGAATAAATATCTAGTGTTTATAAGCTGCCTAGTCAAAGATATTTTGTTCCTGCAGCTCAAACAGACTAAGATGGCATAGAAAGGAGTACATGGGTACCAAGTGTGATAAACTCTAAACTGTGCATTTGATTCTTTGATTTTGCTTTTTTTTTTTTAAGGATCTTTCTATTTTATTAGATTAAAAAGGCAACAAAACCAGAAAGAACTAGGGGGAAAGGATGGTGAAAGAAATATAGAAGACTGAACAAAGACCAGAGGGGCATGGTGAGGAGCAGGGAGAGGAGAGGAAAAGTCAAGAACCCCAGAACAGGAGAGGAAGATTTCCAAGGACCAGACATCTCTTTATTTGATGACAATTTTCTGGTGCAAGGCTTGGGGCCCAGAGCCAGGGAGTAGCTCAGGAGGTGGTGGCCTAGGGCCTAGGGCTGAGGCAGTGGGTGGCAGTCCATGGGCAGTGATGTATTTCTTGTAGGCCTCATGAATGATCTTGAAGGCTTGAGCAGTGGCATAGGGTATGTCTGTAACAGGGTCCCAGTACAAGGCTGGGCGATGGGTCACTGGGCAGATCTCTCGAACAGGAACCTTTGGGGTTATTATCCAGTTCAACTATCTAAGAACATCTGAACAGTGCTTCAAGCATTGTCGAGTGTACAGCATATTCATTCGCATCTATAAATAATGGAGAGCACATGTGAAAAGAGCCTCCATGGTAAGGGTGCTCATCCTGTTTGTGAAAGGGGAGCATGCCAGCACAGGCTGTGGTCTGACAGGAGACTCCACACTCAGTGTTTCCTAGGACACCATTTTCGTCCTAGAAAATATTTTTGAGAGATTCAGGAGATAGCTCACTGGATAAGCACTTGACACACAAGTGTGAGGACCAGAACTCAGATCCCTAGAACCCAAGTGAAAGCTGAGTGGGAATGGTGGCCATCTGCAATCCCAGCAGGCAGGAGGCAGAGGCAGGGAGCCATGGGGCACATAGCTAAACTAGACAGAGTTGCCAAGCAAGAGACCTTGGTCCAGTAAATAGAAGTGGAGAGTGATTGAGAAAGACACCCGACATCAACTTTGTACACACATATACACACCCTCACAAATGTATGCCTGTGCACATGGGAACAAGCATACACACATGCACACATGCACACCACATATACCTTCAAAAATATTTTTTTTGGTCTTTTTGAGACAGGATCTCCCTATAGCCCCAGCTGTCCTGGAACTCACTTTGTAGACCAGGCTGGCCTTGAAATCACAGAGATCCGCCTGCCTCTGCCTCTCGAGTATTGGGATTAAAGGCGTGCGCCACCACGCCTGGCTTCAAAAATATTTTCTAAATAAAATAGAAAGTTGAAAGATTATAAGGAAATAAGTCTGAGATCAGTCTTAGCTACATTAAAATATTTTTTTTCCTCTCCAGATTTTGATTGGCAATGGATTGTTTTAGATGGTCCAGTGGACACCTTCTGGGCAGAAAATCTCAACTCTGTGCTGGATAACACTAGAACTTTGTGCCTAGCAAACAGTGAAACGATTGCCCTGACTGACAAGATAAGGGTGATTTTTGAAGTAGACAGTCTTTCTCAGGCCAGTCCTGCTACCGTCACCCGCTGTGCAATGGTGTATATGGTAAGTTCTCAAAACATTGGCTTCCTTTTATTTAATTTTTTGAGAATTTCACACCACAGTATTATATTTACATCACTTCAACATCTCTCCCTCCCCTCCAACTGCTCCCATGTCCCCTCTACCACTCCTTCTCAAATTCATGAATTTTTCAACAATTATTCCAGTGACAAGCCCCTGGTAGGTTATTCAGTCGCAAGTAGTCAGCTCTAAACACATAAGGTCAATCACTTACAGGGCTCGGTAGGGTGTGTGTGGGGGCGGGTATAACAAAAACTGATTTCTTGACAAAGTATGTTATTTAGGATAGCAACTAGTTGTATCATTTGTATTTGATATGTGCTTTATTTTTAACCTTTGATCCCAGTAGAGAGACCCCAGTAGTTGAGAAGCTTTGTGTCCCCCAAAGCCTCATAATCCAGAAGTGACATACTTACTACTGATATTAATACTACATTTTGTAACAGGCACATGATTTTTTTTACAACTGTAAGTAGTTATTTGAAGTAGACAGGTTAAGCTACTGATGAGAATTATTTTTCCAGCAGAGAAAAGATTGCCCTGAAACTTTTTCTTACTCTGTTGTTCTTATAACTTGGGAACCACATGACCAAGATCGTGCTGTGGATGTAGAAAACAAGAAAAAGTCCTGTGCATGGATTCCTTAGTAGCTGTGGTTAGCCCTCTTTTCTAATCCATCTAATTCACTGTGATGAATAAAGCTGGCTCTAGGGCTACTTCTGACTGACCAGCTCCCCTTGTAACACAGAGCCTGAAGACACCTCTCTACTGGAAATTCCAATTGCTTGTTTTCTTTTAAGACCATAGTTAAAACTGAAAGACTTTTTTCCAGAGAATGGTAATTTCTTGAGCTTTTAAAAATTATTTTAGCTTTAATTAATACTAAAATTAATACTAAATCCAACCATATTTCTTTGGGGAGCAGTCATAAATTAAAAAAACAATTTAAAAGATGAATACAAGGGGGCTGGAGAGATGGCTCAGAGGTTGAGAACACAGGTTGTTCTTGCAGAAGACCTGAGTTCGAATCCCAGCACCCACATGGTACCTACAACTGTCCATAACTCCAGTCCCAGGGGATCCGACAGCCTCTTCTGACCTCTGTGGGCATTGCATGACACGGGTGCACTTACCTACATGTAAGCAATACATGCATAAACATAAGATAAAATTAAAAGAATACAAATACTTTTATTTATTTACATAAGGTTTCTTATGCTTTTTATTATCAGGACCCTGTTGATCTGGGGTGGGAACCTTACATTAAGTCATGGCTTTTGAAAACTTCGAAAATTTTAAGTCACTCAGGAATGGAGTGTCTTGAATTGATGATTAAAAAAAGTGTTACAGAAGGACTACAATTTCTAAAGAAGAATAAGAAATTTCAGCCATACCCTGTACAGGATGTAACAGTCATCATAACCCTATGCAGAATTCTAGATGCTTTCTTTGAATTCATGAGTATAAAAAGAGGATCAACGAAAAGTGAGTTTTCTCAAAGTCACATTAATGATAATGATACCTTACCTATGCCGTGGCAGTTTGTCACTTCCTAGTAGATTTTACAAAAGAAAAATGAAAACAGGAAGGGCCAGCAGCAGGCATGTACACAGAACAGGCTGCAAGCTCTTGGCAGACGGGCATATCCATAGTGGTAAGTTAGTATCATGGATTTGAAGGACCACAGAAATCCAGTATGAAGAATCCTTATAAGATCCCCATTAGCCAAGAATAAGTTTTGTTGTGTTTTAAGGATTCTTCATGTTGGAAGTAGTCTAAAAGTATCTAGATGTAAGCTGTCATGCAAAGACAAAAACACAGAAAGTGGTAAAACATGTGAGAAGAAACCAGCAGATTATTCATGATGTCAAATCATTAAAACAAAGAAATGATCTCTGGGATCCAAACCTATATTCAAATAATGGTTCCATGCAGATCCTGATAAGGTGGCAAATTGGCACAGGCCCACAGCTTACTTTCCAAAACCCATCAAACTAGACGTCCATAGATGGGAATAGAAAACCTGAAGAGGAGGAATCTGGGTGTTGTGAATAATAGATAAGTTTGGAAGAGCGTTTGGGTTTGCCCTTCCTGGTCACCTCGTAGCTCTGAACTGGGCTATAACCCTTCGTTTGGTCAATTAGCACAATATAGCACGGCTGTAGGCACTGGCAGAATTACCATGTTGGTGGTTAAACTTAAATGGTTAGGAAACAGGTCAAAACAAGCTCCTCCTACATCCAAGCCTAAATGATTGAAAGAGAGGCACTTATAAAAATAATGTCAATTGTATTGAAAAAGAATTTTTCTGTATGAAACTGTATTTTAATAATGAAATGGAGATCTTTTTTAAAGGTTAAAACCTCATTTAATTTTATGTCTTATAGGGTTTATACTGAGTACAATATTGTATAACTGTAATAATTCAACTGTAAACCTAAAAATTTATGGCCAATTTTGAAAGAGATGCATCTTAGCTCAGAAAATTGTTATTGAATATGTCAATGCTGTTGTAATGAAATGCTTCTTCTAAGTATGTGGTTATTAAGTGGGAAAAAAAGAGAAGATACTTGATGATCTAATGAACTTTTGAAGAAACAATATGATGGGGAAGGGGATGGTAAGGCGCAAAGGTAGAGCCCAGAGCAGGCTTTTAAATGATGTTCCTAGATGCAGTCATCAGTGAGCCTCCTTTTAGGTCCTACTCCACCTCCATGGCATTTCCCATTAAAGTCCATTCTAGAAAGTTGTTTTTTTGTTTTTTTGGTTTTTTTTGAGACAGGTTCTCAATGTAGCCCTAGCTGCTTTGGAATTTACTGTGTGGACCAGGGTGACCTCAAAACCTCAGAGATCTACCTGCCTCTGCCTCCCAAGTTCTTGGATTAAGAAACATTATAATTTTAATCATAGGTCTAGCAGCTCTATCATCTACTGTCCTGCATATACTGAATGTTCCAGGCTTTAAAATAAACACATTTTACCAGAAAAAATAAATAACAGTGCCATGCAGATACAGGTTAGCACATGGGTTCTTTGCTGTGAAGTGTCTTCTCTCTCCCAGATGCAGGATTCTAAATTCATCCTAAGTAACACTGAGGGAAAGGGGACGCTGGAAACAAAGAAGAAAAAAATGAAAAGATACAGATAGAGGTTAAGCAGCAAACAAACAGTTACAGAAGATAATGAATGAGCTGAATGCTTGATTAGCTAGCTAGATGAGTAACACATCAGAGGGAGCAGGAGCGGTCAAGGCCCTCCCCATATTAAATCAGGAAGGACAAAAAGGGAAATACATTTTAACATTCATTTAAATACAGCTGCTGAACACATAAATGCATGTGTGTATATAGCTGAAAGACGCATACAAGTTGAAACATTAGCATTTATATAATATAAACTCAAGGAGAGTTTAAAAATACAGTTTCAAGAAATAATTGCCAAGGGTTTCATAGATTTAGACAAAACATAATACATAAGATTATGTGTATTATGTGTATATGATAAGAGTACTTGCAAGAAGAAAACACCTACAAATGTATTTTGATCTATTATCCCACCAGCCTTGGGTGGGCTTTGCCTAGGCTAGCAAACACTGGTGTTTGACAGAATTATCTAGCACAATGTCGATGGCTGATCTCCAAATCTTATGGAAATGGAGAGGGGTACTGAGTGCCTCCGATCTGCCGTCTCAAGTTCCTTCTCGAGGGCAGTGAAGTTTAGAGCTAGGTTCTCAAGAAGATGAATGAGCAATCCCCACGCTTAGAGTGAAGGCATCTAAGCAAACACTGTCCCAAACCTTAAACCCTCTGAGGAATGCTTTTCTAATGAAAACGTCAATGGTACGTTCCGGTAGACCGGAGCTGACAGTAAGAGATCATCACTAAATAAGACTCCCTGATGGTGAAAGGCCGTAAGATCCTAGGGTAATGGCAGCCAATAGTGATCCTTAACCTCCAGAAACCAGAAAAATGCAGCCAAAGAGAAGCAGAAGGTTATGAAGATTATGAAAGAGAGAGAGAGAGAGAGAGAGAGAGAGAGAGGCAGCAAGGTATCAGAAGAGCTTGCATCAGGAGAAGAAATCAAAAATGAATGACCAGGAGATGTGGGAGTTACTGCAATAAAACATCAGGATCCCCCCTTTCCGCTGGAGCAGCTGATGGAAATCTTCCAGTGACTCACCAAGATGACAAGCACAAAGGGAAAGAGGAGAGGCACCCGCTACATGTTCCCTAGGCCTTTTAGAAAACACGGAGTTGTTCCTTTGGCCGCATATATGTGAATCTACAAGAAGGGTGACATTGTAGACGTTAAGGGAATGGGTACTGTTCAAAAAGGAATGCCCCATAAATGCTACTGCAGCAAAACTGGGAGCGTCTACAACGTCACTCAGCATGCAGTTGGCATTGTTGTAAACAAGCGAGTTAAGAGCAAGACTCTTGCCAAGAGAATTAATGCGCGTATTGAGCATATTAAGCACTCTAAGAGCCGAGACAGCTTCCTGAAGCGTGTGAAGGAAAATGACCAGAAAAAAAGGAAGGCAAAGAGAAAGGAACCTGTGTTCAGTTGAAGCGCTAGCCCACCTCACCCAGAGAAGCATACCGTGAGAACTAATGGAAAGGAGCCTGAGCTGCTGGACCCCATTCCCTATAAGTTCGTGGCTTAATGTACAAGAAGAAATAAAAGCCCTAGACCGGAAAAAAATCAGGATCCCTGGTCTGTTTCCACACTTAAGCTAGGTGTCAGGTGCTGAACCCACCAGAGAGGACGCTGGGATCCTCTACAATATGTTGGGAAGGATTTATACAGTAGTTATTCTAGTCTTGCTCTCAAGGGAACCACAACCATTTACTTAGGTAGATCATAATGAGAACCTATGTTTTATTTTTTGCTTTGTTTTGAGACAGAGTCTCATGCAGCCCAGGCTGACCTTGAACATCTGGCCAGAATGACTTCCTGCATTCTCCACCTGAGTGCTGAGATTACAGAGATGTGCCACCACACCTACTTTTATGGGTTCTGGGAATTGAATCCAGGGCTTCATGCATGTTAGGCAAACACACTACCAGCCTAGAAGATGAGAGATATCGTAATGGGAAAGGCCAAATGGAAGTCTCTAAATTCCCTGCCAAACAGAGTTTCTGTTTGAAATGATGGAAACATTCTGGAAATGGTTAGTAGTGATGATTGCACAGTGTTATAAATATACTTAATAGCCACTGGACTTTAACCTTGAAAAGGTAAAATAATAAACATTTATGTTTAATGTACCATAATTTCAAAACAAAAAGTACTGCTATACTACTGGATCCTAATTCAGCATGATTGGCCCTGAACACCAAGTAACAGTGGAGCCAGGATCTCATCAAAAGCTGGTTTGTTAGCCTGTCACTGGACCATCCAAGGTCAAGCATGATCAGAACCATGGACTCATAGAAGTTCCAGGAGAGGGTAGCTCAGACTTCCATGCTATCTAAACTTTTTGCCCCAGTATCCCCCACTCCTATCACAAGAATGAGAAACCTGCACTTGGTTTATAGATGTTGGCTTAGCTTGGTACGGATGGCAAGCCTAAAATGGATGGCTGGAGGAATGCATCCTCACTTAGGAAGAGCCATGCAAAACAGTGGCGGAGAAGAATCATGGCGATAGGCAGAACTTGGGATGATACATTTGGTCCTCCACTGGGATGGAAGAGAAAGTAGCTCGAGTTTAGGATAGATCTGGAATCACAAACGTTATTTATTAATAGTAAGTACACAGTACACAGTCTACACCCTACTCATATATAATGTTTTCCCTACAATATGTCAGTTCTTATATGTATATGGGCCTGGGCCTAGGTTGTTCATTTGGTTGTAGCACTCTGATTGCTATAGCTCTATAGTTTTGTGATACAGCTTGACATATGATTGTCTGAATTTCTGCCATTTCTTCTTTCCCAAAACTGTCAGAGCTATTTGTGTACTTTTCTAAATAAGAGTGGTAAGAGGAAGGGACGAGGCTAGTATACAATACAAGAAATTCATTGTAAAACCACAACCATAAATACAGTCAACAGAGCAAATGTAATAAATGTAAGTCACACAAAGAAGCGCTGTCAGAAAGGATTGTTCTATAAATTAGTAATTCTCATGCACATGTGCAGTGTGGAGAGGGGAAGAGAGAGAGAGAAGGTTGCTCGAGTGAGCCTGAGAAGGGAGGCGGGCAGGGTGGTGGCAAGCTGGGCAGCTGGCCATAAGGAGGAGCCCTGAGGACGAGCTGATCTTCTTAAAACCAGGGACTCTAGATAAGCTGACTAGACCTCAGTAGACAAACTTGCACTGTGAATCATCTGGGGACATTAACTTAACAAAATAGGTCTTAACACAAATGACAGAATGTATGAATTCCAGTGGGGCAGGGGTGGGGGCTATGAGAGGGTGCCAGTGGGGAGGGGTGTATAAAGATGAATAAGATTCACTGAGATGTTCTGTATGAAATACACAAAAATTCAATTAAAATTTTTGTTAAAAGGGCCTTGAGTTTTAAGCCTCTAGTTGAAAGAGAAACAGTGAAGGAGTTTCCAAAGAGGAAGGCCATGGTGCTGTTAGATCTGCTGTTTGAATAGATGTCTCCAGTAATGGTATGAAGAATGATTCTGAGGGAAAAGGAGCTAGAAATGAAGAGATGGGTCAGGGATGGTGGAGTTTAGGATGCAGAAGAGAGTTTTGTTTATGCAAAACAACATTGGTGGGACTTACCAAAATAATGGATATGGAAAATAAGGAAAAGGGAGAAGTCAAGGCTGGCTCTCTAGATTCTGACTGTCTAGAAGGAGGTAAGATTCTAGACTGGGATTTCAAATTTGATAGTCATCAGCAGACAAATGACTGATACTACTCAGGAAGCATATACAGGATGAGAAATACCAGAAGAGTGGGAGATGGGGATAAAGAGGAGATAAAACTGAAAGGCAAGAGCTGGAGAAATGACTCAGTAGTTAAGAGCACTAACTGCCCTGGCAGAGAACCCAGGTTCTATTCCCAGCACCCACATGGCAGCTAACAACCATTTGTAACTCCAGTTCCAGGGGATCTGACACCTTCTTCTAACCTCCTCAGGCACTGCACAATATGGTGCCCTTACACACATATATGCAATACACTCAGACTCATAAAATAAAATAAAAATAATAAAAAGAACTGAAAGGCAAAAGCAGTTCTCAAAGGAGACTTGAATAGATAGATCAGCTACAGGAAAGTGCAGATAGATGGCTTTGAGCTGGTGGTACATCACTCTGAGATCTGGCAGAATGGAGGTCAGCATGGCCAAAGCTTAAGTGTAATTTTGGGATAAAAAGGTAGACGATGAAAAGAGGTCACCCCGATGAGATGGATTTTTCTCATAAACTTGGGGCCAAAGTTACCTACCAAGTTTAAGAAGGTGAAAAATTGGTTTCCCTCTGAACCCCTTCTTTCCATCTAACCCTCAAGTGGTTACACCATAGAAGAAAATGGCAACCCCACAGCAGCCCTTAACAGTCAGTAGCTCCTCAAGAAGGGATGGGCCTCGTGGGTACTTCCTTATCTATGATGAAACACATGGATGGCTGGAACGTGCCGAACTGTGAGCTTTCAGAGGATTGTTGACAGTACATGCTGGAAATAGTGACACATTCTGCCTTACCGTTGTCATCCTAGGAACTTTTATAAGAGTATCACCAGAGACACACAAAAATTTATGCACAAGGAGGTTTATCCTTAGCAGAACCATTTGCAATCATAAAAACAATTTGAATTCCAACAATGGGAGATTGGCTTTAAAAATTATGCTACAACAAAATCATGATTCAAAGGACTTGGAACAGCATAGACAGCCTTAAAATAAAAAGGAAGGATAAGAACACAAGTCTTGACATTTTTATCTAAGCTAAAATTTTTAAATGTGTGCATTCTATGAGAACTATGCCAACATTTTAATGGCTGTTATCTATGGGTGGTGCATCTGTGTGCTGTATTTTTATGTATATTTAAATGTGCTATAATAAGTATGCTTTACTATTAACACAAATATTAGAAAGACAAAGGAGTCACTTACTCTGTCCTTCTCTGTTGAGTGAATGACTTGGACCAAAAAAGTGGGGAGTGAGGATGGAAAGACAGCTACAATCTGCCTAAGATATTCTGTGTGAGATGAAGATTCTCCTGTGACAGTTTAATAGCTCAACAATGGTATAAACCTCATTAATTAACCAACTAAATTTTAGGTCTGTTGCTAATTGTAAAAACTACTGTCCTTTCTAAGGTGATGATGCATCAGATGACATTGCAACTAAAGAGACAAAGTTTTTGAGGGTCAAATTCAAGGATACAGAAAAGAGGTTAGTTACATTCATTCAACAAATGTGGGGTTTTTATGTGGTGATTTTTATTTTATGTGTATGAGTATATTGCCTACATGTATGTAAGAGAACCCATATCATGCAATGCCCACAGGGGTCAGAAGGGGGTGTCAGATTCCTCTGGAACTGGAGTTATAGATGGTTGTTAGCTGCCATGTGGGTGTTGGGAATCGAACCCGGGTCCTCTGTAAGAGCATCCAGTGCTCTTAACCACTGAGCCATCTCTCCAGCCCTATCAACAAATATGTTTTAAGCACCTACTAGATGCCAAACTCTCAAATACACAGAGGATCATTGCCAGTAAACTGTATTTTTTTACTTCATAATATTAAAATCTTTTTCATTCCAACTTGGAGTTCTTTGTATAACTAATGTAAGATAATCACATCTTATGGTGCTTTAAAGTAATAGGATTATTATTAAAATAAGGATATTCATCTTGCCTCTCTGTACATGTTTGAGAAAGGAATGAAACTGACATGAATTTATTTCATGAATCATCCATTTATAAACTATGAAATGTTGAACCAGTTACTAAATTTTTCAAGCTTTGTCTCATTTATAAAACTGGAATAACAGTGTGCCGTGTAGAGTCTGATACATAGGTAAGTGCTCAGTGAATTCTAGCTGGGAACTGTTAGTTCTACATTGCTTCTGCCTGCCGCTTTGGAGATCAGAGTCGTTGGGATCTCCATGCATGTCATATAAGCCGCTAAGACATTCCTGTGTCCTTAGCTTTTGAAAGTTAAGACCTCTTCAATGTGATTCCCACTCTGACGACTCTGTTCTCATATCAATGCAGTTACTACATCTTGACTATGGTATCCTGACCTAATTTTCCATTGCTTGCCTGTCCTCTTGTAATGCTTGGTTTCCTCAGTTCTTCCAGTCCATTTTCAACATAACAATGAGGTTATTTTTTCTTTTGTTAAGTGGTGTTCTAGTTTGCCTTTAATTGCTGTGACAAAACATTCTGACCAATACCAGCATGGGGAGGAAAGGGCTTATTTTTTCTTTATATCTCCTGGATCTCACAGTTCATCATGGAGGGAGCCCAAGGTAGGAACTCAGGACAGGAACCTGGAGGCAGGAGCTGGAGCACAGGCCATGGAGGAATTCTGCTTACTGGCTTGCTCCCCTGGCCCATCCTCAACCTGCTTTATTATAGAATACAGAGCAACCCGCCCAGGGTGGCACAGCCCGCAGTGGCCTGGGCCCTCCCACATCACTCAAAAATTAAGAAAATACCCCACAGACATGGCCACAGGCCAGTTCAATGGAAGCAATTCCCCAGTTGAGGCTTCCTCTACCCAGGTATGTCTAGTTGACAATTAAAGCTATCCAGCACAGGTGGTAAGTAACCATAAAAGAATATTCTAAAAATACATGTATGACACAAATAACAATACCACAAATGCCTATATATACATTAGTATTTTAATTTTAGATGTCTCCTACCTACTGTCCTCCATATTATACCATCTCGTTATTTGAATAATAGCTACCTTGGATTTTGTTTATTAATATGTCCCTGGGCTGGAGAGATGGCTCAGCAGTTAAGAACACTGGCTACTCTTGCAGAGGGCCTAGGTTCCGTTCCCAGCACCCACATAGAGACTTTCAACCATCTGTAACTCCAGTTCCAGGGGACCCAACACCCTCTTCTGACCTCCATGGGCATTTGAGGACATGGGTGCACTTACATACAATGCAGGTAAAATACTCACACATAAATAAATTTTTCTAATGATTAATTAAAATATATATTCTTCTAATACATTGTTGAACTCTGTGTGTATTGCTCTGATTTTTGTTATTTCTTCTTGTCCACTGGGTTTGGGTTTCATTTGTTGTTGCTTTTCAAGTGTCTTGAGTTACAATGTTAAGTCATTTATTTGTGTTCTTTCTGATTTTTTAATGAAGGCAGTTAGAGCTATAAGCTTCCTGAGTTGCAGTGTTAAGTCATTTATTTGTGTTCTTTCCGATTTTTTGATGTAGGCACTTAGAGCTATAAACTTCCCTCTAAGGATAGCTTTCAGCGTGTCCCAGAGATTTTGTTGTGTTGTATTGTCCTTTTCATTTAGTTCCAGGAACACTTTATTTCTTTCTTAATATCTCTTTTGGCTCATTCACCGGTGTTGATTGTAAGCTTTATTGCATTGTGGTCTGATAGAATGCATGGAATTATTTCAATCTTTTTGTATTTGTTGAGGTTTGTTTTGTGCCCCAGTATATGGTTGATTTTCGAGAAAGCTCCATGGGGCACTGAATAGAAAGTATTTTCTCTGGTGGTTGGGTACAATATTTGCTAGATGTCTATTACGTTCATTTATTATATGGTATTGTTTAATTCCAATGTCTCTGTTAATTCTCTGTGTTGTTGACCTACCTAATGGAGACAATGGGGTAATGAAGTCCCCTACTATTAATGAGTTGGGATTAATCTGGGTCTTAAATTCCTGTAGTACTGTTTTTATGAAGTTGGGTGTCCCAGAGTTTGGTGAATATATGTTCATGATTGTCATATCTTATTGGTCAATTTCTCCTTTGATCAGATTGTAGTGGCCCTCTTTATCTCTTCTGATTAGTTTTGGTTTAAGGTCTATTTTTTCAGATAATAGAATTGCAATGCCTGCTTTTTTTCTTAGTACCATTCGCTTGGTGTATTTTTTTCCATCCTTTTACCTTAAGGTAGTACCTGTCCTTGAAAGTGAGATGAGTTTCTTGCAGACAACTGAAAGATAGGTTTTGTTCCTTAATCTATTCAACTAGTCTGTGTCTTTTGACTGGGGAGTTTAGTCCACTGATATTTAAAGTTATTCATGAAAAATGTGTACTGATTCCTGTCGTTTTGATTTCTGTTCACATTCTTGGTGTAACTGTGGATTTTCACAGTTATACCTTCATTAAGTTTCTTTCTGTAACCCCTTGGGTATAGTTGTTCCTTTCTTCAGCTCTTTGTATTGCTTCAAGAACTCTCTGAAGGGCTGGTTTTTGGACATGAATTCTTTCAGCCTCTTTATGTCATGGAAGATTTTTCTTTCCCCTTCGACTATAATAGACATTTTGGCTGGGTAAAGAAATCTGGGTTGGCATCTGTGGTCATTTAGAGCTAGGAATACTTTGGTCCAGGCTCTTCTGGCTTTTCAGTGTTCTCTCTTTGTTCTGTACATTTAGTGTTTTTACTATGCTATGTTATGGAGAGTTTCTTTGCTGGCCCTGTCTATTTGTGTTCTATGTGCTTCTTGTATTTGTATGGGCATGCCTTTCTTTAATTTTGGGAAATTTTCTTCTATAATCCTGTTGAAGATCTGGTCCATGTCATTATCTTGGAATTCTTCCCCTTCCTGTATGCCTATGATTTGTGAGTTTGGTCTTTTTAAGGTGTCACACAATTCCTGCATATTCCATTCTTGTGATTTCTTAAATCTTTCATAACCTTTGCTTGAGTGGTCTAGTTCATCCACTTTATCTTCCAGTCTTGATACACTGTTTTCCATTTCGTTCATCCTATTGTTGAGGCTTTCTCCTGCCGTTTCTAATTGGCTGAGTGTTTCACTTCCTTCTTCATTTCAGCCCGAGTATTCTTCAATATTTCTAACTCTTTTCTGAATTCATTCAGAAGTTTGTCCCTATCTTATCTCAGTTCTTTGATTTCTTTGTGTGTTCTTTAAATTCACTGAATTCTTTTATCATGTTTATAATTGTTCTTTTGAGTTCCTTGTCCTGTGTTATCTCTAGCGGGTTCTCATTGTACTCCTCTACAGGATTGTTGGTACTTAGTGGGGATATATTATTTGGGTTTTTCATGTTATTATTTTTTTACTGTGAGTTTGACATGTGGATTTCTTTTGTAGTTTCTGATTCTTGTGTGAGACTCAAGCCTTACTTTGTTGAGTTTAGGTCTGCTTCTTTTTATAAACTTTATGTGTCTTTGTGGTTTGCTTGAAAAGCTAGTTGGTCTAGGCTTCAGGTTCTCTCCTTTCATTTTATATTAGAGGGCCAGATGGCTTTAGTCCTGCTGCTCAGGAGTTCCCACAGAGTTCCAGGTCAGATGAGGATCAGGTGCTCTCAAGTCTTTCTCCTAAGGTCTGGATCCCTCCAGGAAAGATGCTGGCCTCAGGAAGTTGGGGGCTGGGCTAGTCTGGGACCAGGGCCTGTCTCAGGCATGCAGAGGCAAGGGGGCTGGGTTTAACAGGCCCTGCAGGCTCCTGGTGACTAGACCTAGGAACTGGGTTGGTCTGGTTGCAAAAGGTCAGGAAGCAGTGGGGAGTCTGGGCCAAGAGAGCAGTCCAGAGGTCTGAGGTGCCAAGAGAAGAAATGGGCCAGTGCCCACACTAGGAGGAGAGACAGGGTGGGGGAGCTGGGAGGGAATGAGGCTAGGGGATTCAAGGCGAGATAGGGCATGGCCAGCAGAAACTTACCCAGTAAACAAGCTAGCCCCAGGAAGCTGGTGGCTGTGCTGCTCAGAAATGCAAAGGCGATGTGAGGGAGAGAACAGGCCCTGAGGGCTCCTGGGGACTAGAGAGAGGAATCAGGTTGGTCTGGGTGCAAAGGATCAGAAAGTAGTGAGAAGCCTGGGCCAAGAGGGTAGTCCAGAGGTCTGGGATGCCAAGAGAAGAAATGGGCCAGTGCCCACACTAGGAGGAGAGACTAGGTAGGGGATCTGGGAAGGTGAACAAGGCTGGGGGATTCAAGGCACAGTGGGTGAGCAGCCAAACTTACCCAGGAAAGAAGCTGGTCCCAGGAAGCTGGTGGCTATGCCACCCAGAAATGCCAAGATGATGTGAGCCCCATCCATTTAAAAATGTTTATTTTCAGACAAGGTCTTGCCCAGTTCCCCAGACTGGCCTTGAATTCACTCTGTAGCCCAGACAGAGCTTGAACTTGCAGTCCTCCCACTTCCCCCTCAGGCCTGGCTTTTGTGTGTTCATTAACCTCAGATAAATAGCATCACTTTGCATGATCATCTGTGACTTAACTTTTTTTGTCACCAGGATGTCCTTATGGTTCGCCATTGTGCCTAGAGCTGTTCTTCATTCTTTTCACAGCTATCTGATAGTCTCTTATGTTCTGTACACAAATCCTAGTTTATCTGTTGATAAAAATTTAGGTTCTCAGTTTTTGTTGTTACACTGTACTACTGTGATTAACATGATTAATACATGTTCCTGATACATGCAAAGTGTTTTTATCTGTTTTAACTTTCTCTGAGACAATAATTTCTGATCAGGGCCTTGAACTTCCAGCCCTCCCACCTCAGTCTCCCAGGATGCTGGGCTTATAGCTGCACACTACCACACTGGCAGTTTGATTTTTCTAAAGGTAAGTTAGATGCCCATTTTCTCTTTTCAGTCTACTTTATGACTTCTCACTACACTCAGAGTGGAAAATCCTGGCCCAGCTTTAAGCCACTGCCCCTCCCCCCTGGTCTTCTCCTTCAAGTGCTCCATTAGTGTTGACTTTTTTTTTTACACAGTACTTTTTTTTTTTAATGCATATTAAGAGTTTTGCCTGCATGTGTGTATGTGCACCATGTGAGTGTCTGGTGCCTGCAGAGGCCAGAAGAGGGCACCACATCCCCTGAACTGGAGTTATAGGCTGTTGTGAGCCTCTGTGAAGATGCTGGAAACCAAACCTAGCAAGAGCAGCCAGTGTTCTTCACTACTGAGCCCTCTCTCCAACCCCAACACTGACTTTTGTTTGCCTGGTTCTTGAAAGCAGCTGCATTACTTTGACTTCTGGCCTTGGTACATGCATTCCTATGATTCCAGTGCTCTTCCTTTTGTAATTTTCCAAATCTCACTCATTCTTCAGGCCTTAATTTCTCTGTTGTCTCTTCAGGAAGGCCACTCCCAAGTCTGAGGTCTAAATCTGTTGTCCTGCTCTTTTTCCTCCTGGCTTGCTCTACTCTGTCTTTCCTATTCTGTGAACAGGGTCATGTCTACTTTGTTTAGGGTAACTGATAAATAGTAACAATTTAATAAATATTTGTTAATCAGCTACTACACATAGACAGAATTTAGATAGAATTGTGCAAATATACTTTTTATTGATGCTCACTAATAAATTTCAGTCTGTGGTGTATTTTTAGGTTTTTCATAATTTATACTTTTATGATACTGAATCTTGAAGTATGCAACGTGTTTAAAATCAAGGCCCAAAACACTATAATCATCAAACCAACCACAGAACACAGAGTTCACTAACCATAAGTAGCCTGGGTTGACCTAAACTCGAAAATCTCCCCAGATTCACACTGCTTGTTGATAGCCAGGTTGAACCACATCAACCCTCAAGAACTTGCTAAGGGAAATAAGAATGAATCCCTACTCATTTATGTCATACATGAAATGAAGAGTTAACAGATCTTCTCCCCATCAAACAAGTAAATACTCAGCTAATAAATTGATCTAAAATAAACACAAAATGTATGTATAAATACTAAATAAAATATATATGCATTTACTTGAATATATCAAGCCTGTACATATTAGATAAAAATATATTAAACATCTATTAAAAACATATCACAATAAGGATATATCAAATAGAAATATATGTCATTAAAGGTATATTATAAATTATGTGAATTTTTTTCATAAAACTTAACCAACCACGTTGTCTGTCTCAGGCAGGCCTCAGTCTTAGAGAGATCTGCCTGCCTCTGTCTTCCAAGTGCTGGAACTAAAGGCATGCGTGTGCTGCCACATCCAGCTTGTGAACATGTTTTTAAAACTATGTACGAAATAAAAGTTAAGTGTAAATGCCTTATACATGTTTTAGTTTAAAAATAAACAAAGTGCATAATTTACATGACTGTTATCAAAGGGAAAATTATGTATTAGTTCTAAAACTTTTGTGTCAATATTTCATTATAATTTTTTTTGGAATTAAACATTTATTTTCCTGTGAATTATCTATTTTTAAACTATTTATTTAATAACCACATACTTAGAAGAAGCATTTCATTACGACAGCATTGACATATTCAATAACAATTTCCAGAGCTAAGATGCATCTCTTTCAAAATTGGCTGTAAATTTTTAGGTTTACCATTATAACTTTTAATAATGAAACTTTGACATGATGTTGAAATAAATTTCCCTGCTGCTTTACGAAGCTTTTAACCATCACCTTTCCACATACAGCTACTTCAAGGATGATAATGCATGGTACTTGGAGAAAAATCCTGATAAATTACCAATAATGATTCAAAAGGTTTTTGTGTTTGCCTTTACTTGGGCATTTGGAGGAACTTTAAAACGCGAAGACCAACATGAAGAAAATACACGATCTTGTGGGAGTTTTGAACCTGATTCTCTCGCAGAAGTGACCTATAGTTTTGACAACCTTGTTCATGAATTATTTGATGAATATTCAGAATCAGGTAAGTCCTGAAGTGAGTTATCATGCTAATTTTGGAATATTAATTAGAAACTGATTGGGTTTACATTGTTTGGGAAGAGTAAAGGTAAAAAAAAGAGTGTGTGCACTATACCCTCAGTTGAACAGAAGGAGGGGAAGAAGATTAAATTCTCATTGACTGGAGATGCTGTAAGAAAGTGAGAACTCTAGGCAGGACAGAACTGACTCCCCAAAGTTGTCCCCTGACCTCCACACCTTCTGGTGGGAATTAAACCCCAATGTGAGTTTTGGAGGAGACAAATCATAGCCAAACTATAGGTTTCATCCTGATAGGAATTCACTCTACGTTAAATTATTATGGCCTAACATATCTTCATATAAATGTTATGGCTCTCAAATATATTGATGAAGGAATGGAGTCTATTTTTTAAGTATGAAATAAAACAAACAAATTTTAAAAAGTGCATTGGCTCAAGTAGTCATTTCGAAAATGAAAAAATGTAGTTATTTAAAGGAAAAATTCAGTAATACAGAGGAAGTACACAGTGAATCACCAAAACAAAAAACAAAAACACAAAAAGAATTAGTAATTGAAATGAGAGAGGAAGACATGGGAGAGCAGTGAGGAGACAGGACGCTGAGAGAGTTCAAGTAGAAGAGTGTCTCCTTCTGAAGAGAATGTCAGAAAGTACATCTTTGAGCACGTACAACAGAATTTTCTAAAATTGACATAAAGCCTCAGATTAAATACATGTAGTCATTTCATAGTGACACTCTAAACATGTCAAAATAATGTGAAGCTGCCGTGGTTTGCTAGTCTAGAAGACAGCTTCGGTTATAGCCATGGGCTTCTATGTGCACTTTTCGTAAAGTGCTTTGTTTATTGCTCACAAACTTCATGATTTCACAGCATATCAGCTTTTTCTGTGTTCTGTGCTGACAAGGACAAAACACACAAAAGATAAAGCAATTGTGAACGTCTATGAATTTAACAGAATAGTCTTTTATTAATAAAAGCTAAGGCTTCTAAGAGAAAAATGGACAATTGTAAAATCACAGTAAGTGAACGTGTGGTGACCCATGCCTGTATCCCAGGGCTGGGCAGGTAAAGACAGGAGGATTCTATCTATGGTAGTGTATTCACAGGTTGGCTGCTTCGTTAGCTACACTATTAGAGATACATTAAAAATCATTTGCTCTCATTAATTTTTTGTAGTTTTTTAAGATAAAGTCTCATGTACCCCAGGCTAGACTCAAACTTGCTATGTACCCAAAGATGACCTTGAACTCCTGATCCTCCTGCCTTCATCTTTTTAACATTGGGATTTTTAACATATCTCTAATAAAAACTGAAAAAGAAACCAAGATAAAAATACTAACAAAGTATATATTAGTATATTAAATGTGGTTATTTGTATCATTTAAATGTTAATACTGTTATCTTTGGTGAAACTAAGGTAAACTTATTTTCCTTTTTATTCTAAAGTTTCCAGAAATGTCTACTAATAAATATTACTTTTTAAATGGAAAAATTAATATAACTTACAAATAAATATCAGGCTTCTATAATGTATTGATTTGACCAAGGCCAGTGCAATTACTGGCATTTACTAGCATCTGGTACATAGTAAATGCCATTTGGGGTAAGATTTCGCAGGATGTCAGATCACAATTTACCCTTTTCTGGATGTAAAAAGGTCAGAAAACTAGTAACATTTTGCTTTTGTGCAACCCGATATTGTGAGGAAATGACCAGCCTCTTTTATATAGTAGTAGTTTACTATTTATTGACTCCTGGTCCAAAAATCCTAATTTTGCTGGGCATGGTGGTGTTCACTTTTAATCCCAGCACTCAGGAAGCAGAGGCAGGCAAATTCCTGTGAGATAGAGGCCAGCCTGGTCTGTAGATACTGTAGATATTGCAAGTTCCAGGGCAGCTGGGGCTACAGGGAAACTCTGTCTCAAAAAAAAAAAAAAAATCCTAACCTTTAGGTTAGTGTTCATGCTGTTAGTGAAATGTTCCATAACTGACCCTTTCTTACTAAATTCTTTTACTTGTGACTTTCAGACACAGGTATCAGCCTACCAGGTGGTGAACAGTCTATATTTGGATATTTTGTGGACTTACAGCTTGGTGAGTTCATACCTTGGTCAGATTTAGTTCCTACTGCTCAGACACTAATTCAAAAAGGTCAGCCTAATTACAAAAAATAATGCTTACAACTTCTCTAAAATCTTCAGTAGAGGGTTAATATATTCCAAGTTGTTGTAGGGACCAGTTTTGATTCATATTTATAAACTCTGCCTTGGACTAGCCTTAGAACACTACATTATAAGAAATACATAGTATAGTTCAGAAGCACACTATAAATCTACAGTACACAGAAAGTCTTATGAATGTCAGTGTTCATTGTTCTAATTAGTTGTGGTTTTAGAAAGAAAATGCTAAGAATCAAAAATAGGAATGCAAATCTTATACTTGGTTATAAGTGAAATCAGTAATTAGAACCAAGTGTGGTGGGCATTGTGGGCCATACCTGGAATCCCAGCACTTGGGAAGCTGAGGCAGGAAGATAGCCATTAATTCAAAGCCAGCCTGGGACATACTGTGAGAACTAGTCCAGCCACTAATACCTTGTCTCAAAACAACCAAAAAAGGAAAGAAAACCATAGTTTTGTGACATAAATATATATGCTTAATTGTTTCTATTTTCTTTTCTTTTTTAAGCTGATAAGGTAATTTATTTAAAGTGTAACAGTTTCAGTGACAGAAAAATAAATTATTTTAATTCATTCCAACGAGATGTAGGGTAAGATCAGTTGTCATTATAAATAGAATATCTTTATAGTCCAAATATAACAACCATTCTAAAAGAATTTTAGATAACCTCTTAATAGTTTATCGTAAAAGTTATACTCCAGAAATACACTAAGATGCATTTTAATTTTTTAATTTATTATTATTATTTTATTTGTATGCTTGTATTGCCTATGTGTAGGTAAGTCACCCGTGTCGTGAATGCCCCTGGAGGTCAGAGAGACTGTCAGATTCCCTGGAATCTGGAGTTACAGACAGTTGTTAGCTGCCATGTGGGTGCTGGGATTTGAACCTGGGTCTTCTGCAAGAACAGTCAGTGTTCTTAACTGCTGAGCCATCTCTCCAGCCCTGAAATCAGTGCTCTTAACTGCTGAGCCATCTCTCCAGCCCCATAAGATGCAATTTTTAAAATCTTAGTTGCCATAGTTGAAAGTAAATAATTTAGAGTTGTACTTTTTAAAATATTTTTTAAGTTATTTTTATTTTATGTGTATGTGTGAATTGCCTGCACGTAGGTAACTGCACCCATGTCGTGAAATGCCCAAGGAAGACAGAAGAGACTTTCAGATCCCCTGGAACTGGAGTTACGGATGATTGTTAGCTGCCATGTAGGGACTGGGATTCAAACCCAGGTCTTCTGCAAGAACAGTCTGTGTTCTTAACCGCTGAACCATCTCTACAGCCCTAGAGTTGTACTTTTTAAAAAATATATTTTTATTGATTCGAGGATTTCATGCAGTGTATTTTGATCATATTCAGACCCTTTCCCCCTCTCCAGCCTCACCACACTATGCTGAGGGTGTAAGTTAAAAAATGAAAAGCAAATGGCAGAACAAAATGCACGATATGGGAGCAGGGTGGCCAGGGCACAAGAACAAGAAGGCTGCTCATTACATATCTGTATGTTTTGTTGAACTGTGTACTGTATATTAGCTATTCACCTAATATTTTTTTATGTGTACAAGTGTATTGCCTGCATGTATGTGAGTACACCCATGTTGTGCAGTGCCACGGAGGTCAGAAGAGGGCTTCAAATTCCCCTGGAACTGGAGTTAAGGACGGTTCATAGCTGCCATGTGGGTGCTTGGAATCGAACCCAGGTCCTCTGCAAGAGCAGTCAATGCTCTTAACCACTGAGCCATCTCTCCAGCCCCCTCGCCTAATTTTTTGTTATATGAAAAATTAATAAGAGATGAATAAGTATAGCTATTTAGGTTTAACTCTGTTGACAGTGTGGTTGTGTGATAGGGGAAAGAATTAAGATTTTTCTTAAAAAAAAGTTGGGGGGAGTGAGATGACTCATGGAGTAAAGGAGTAATCCTTGGAACCACATAAAGGTGGAAGAAAGGAACCAACTCCACAAAGTTGTGCTTTGACCTTTACACACATACCCTGGCATGTACATATCCCCCCACATTAATAGTAAGTAATAATAACAGTGATAATAAATAATACTTTTTTAAAAAGCAATATGAACTGACAGTATGGCTCAGGGGTTAAGAGCACATATTGTTCTTGCAGAGGACCCAGGTTTGTTTTCCAGCACCCATATGGCAGCTCATAACTGCCTGTAACTCCAGTTCCAGGGGATATGACACACTCTTCTGACTTCTGTGGGCACTAAGCACACATGTGGTGCATGTGTATATATATATATATATATATAATATATATATTATATATATAATACATATATATATTCAAAACATTCATGCACATAAAGGTAATAAAAATCTTTTAAAAGAGAATTAGGAATGCCAGGCATGGTTTCATGCACCTTTAATCCCAGACCTCGGGAGGCAGAAACAGGTGGATCTCTGTGAGATTGAGGCCAGCCTAGTGACTTCCAGGCATGCTGGGACTAGGGAGACCCTGTCAAAAGGAAAAAACAAAAGAAAAAGTAGACTAGTGTTCTAGACAGTGTTAGAATCCAAGACAGTTTTGTGTTCACATGTGCGTGCATGTGTATTTGTGTGTTATTTTCATACGGAAGTCTGTGTTCAGCCATTCTACTTAAAATGTCAATTTCGTGTGATTCAAACAAGATTGAAAGTACTCGCACATACATGTTTATGTGATCAAAACTTCCAGCAGAATGGAAGAGTCTGAAGGATGGGAGGCTAACCAAAGAAACGAGGTTCTGATCAAGAGGGGCAGGGAGCCCTGGCAAGAGAGGGCCTCCTTCATCCCTGTAGCAGGAGAGAGGACTCAGCCCATGGCAGCAGACTAGCAGGCTTGGGGTAGATGACAAGGAGTTTACTTCTCGAAGACCTAGGTGCATGGGCGGTGCATTTGCCAGCTGAGAGTGTAGCAAAGACCCCAGGCACATGTAACAACTTTGGCAGATCTGTACATGTTCAAGTTGCCATGTAATATGTAGACTGATTACTGAATACTAGAAAGATTGGGTTAATAATTCTTTCTAGGTCATTTAATACTTAAAACATTTTTGGGCCTTAGGGACATCGTTATTGACTGACTTTCATGGGTCTAGTGGGAACATCCTCAGGATGAAGGAATGTGGAGAATACATTAATTATACTGCGACCAGAGACACAGTCTGCCTCTCCTTCCTCATGAGTCTTCTCTTAAAGAATTCCTGCCCTGTACTTCTCACAGGTATTAAAAATATCTAATAGTAACTGTGTGGTGGCACATGCCTTTAATCCCAACATTTGGGAGAGGCAGAGACAGGCAGATCTCTGTGAGATTAAGGTCAGCCTGGTCTACAAAGTGAATTCCAGGTCAGCTGGGGCTACAGAGAGACCCTGTCTCAAAAACAAAAACAAAACGTGTGTGTGTGTGTGTGTGTGTGTATAGATATATGTATATCTACACACACAATCATTTGGTCTACTTGTTTTTAAGATAGGAATTGGTTAATAGGCCCTGAAAATTTGAGAGTAGTTTCATATTCTTACTAACAGCCTAGGAATACCCATTTCTGGTACAGGACATTATAAAAATCAATCTCTCTCTCTCTCTCTCTCTATCTCTCTCTCTCTCTTTCTCTCTCTCTCTCAATAAGAGCTTGCCATGTAGCCCAGCTTCACACTGAACATGTAATCCTCCTACCTCACCCAGGTGCTGGGGTTACAGATGCCTGCATCACTCCAGGCTTGGATATTATCAGTTTTTTCATCTCTTACTTACCCAAAGGACTAATTCTAGAAGTAGAGTCATTGGATTGACCTCCATAGCCTATGGTCAAGCTCCATAGCATTAGAAGATAATACCAATTGGCCATCTCTCCAGCCTTGCCTTTGTTTGTTTTTTAAAGATAGCATTTCACCATACAGTTAAATTTACACCAGCAATTTGTAAATTTAGCGTAAAATTTTTCCAATCTTTTAGTATTACCAAAGGAGAACCATCACAGTTCCTGTTCTTTCTAAATATTTATTCAGCCCATTGATTTCCTTTTTCATCTCCCTAACTGGTGCTGCATGTCAAATAGTATAGTGTTCCCAGTGACGTATTCAAAAAATTGCAGCGGTTTAATTCAGAGAACCCATATTTTGCCTTTAATTTGCTCTAATAAGATTCTTGTATTTTTCTGTTTAGTGAATTATAAAGTTGTGTGTCCTTGTTCTTCTTCAATAAGGAGTTTACCAAATGTATCCCTCAGACTGTGTTAGTGAAAAATTTTTAAAGAAACTGGAAATGGTGGTATATGCTCATAATCCCAGTCCTCAGGAGGCTGAGGAGGGAGGATCATTGAGTTTGAGGCCACCCTGGGCTACATAACAAGATCATCTGTCAAAAAATATCTTTGATTTTGTTGATTTATTTCAAGGAATTTCATTAAATGTAGCACTTCTAGTGCGTTAGAAGCAAAACTGTTTGTGATGGCACAAATGACTGTTAGATGACAATTATAGTTAGATTCTAATCGATTTTTGTAAGAGATATAAATAATTCAAACAATTTGAATGAAGTTCACATTAACTCCCTAATTCTCCCACATTTAAAACATGGAAAAGCAAAGAATACTTTCTTTGCAAATTTCAAATGCATAAAAATGCTCTTAGTTCATCTTAATATATGAATGTGTCATTTTCTTTCATGCGACTCTAACCTAATGCATTTCCCCCCCTTAGGAGAGTCTGGTGTCGGGAAAACTACAGCCATTAACCAAATGCTTGAAAAGCTAGAGGGCCGAGGAACATTTGATATAAAATATGACTCAATTTTAGGAAAAGTCCTGTTACATAATGAGATTAAAAGATCAAGGTTGTATACATTAAACTCTAAATTTGTTTTATCTGGTAAAATGTCTTCTTGATATATGTGTACCTTATTTTACAAGGCAAATCTATTATATAAAGATGCAGGATTATGCAGATAAAGTAATAAGAAAAATATTTTCCCAGTCTCACCTTTATTTTAATTTAATGTTCATGTTTAATTGATACATAATAACTGTATATATTTGTGGCGTACCGTAGGGTGTTTAGATGTGTGATGCATTGTGAAATTATGCCAGGTAATTAGCATACCCCTCACTTCACATACTTAATATATTTTGTAGTGAGAACACTTAAAATGAATACTCCCAGCAGTTTTGAAATACACTGCTGTTAACTATAGTCACCATGTCATGCAAATAGATCTTAAAATCCAGTTCCTCATAACAGACACTTTGCGTCCTCAGACAAACATCTCGCTTTCTCCAGCCTCACCCCCAGCCACTGTCAGCCAACTCTCTGCTTCCATGAGTTGGGCTTTTTTTTTTTTTAGATTCTAAGTGTAACGGAGATCATGCAGTATTCAACCCTTCTTACCTGTCCTATTTCACTGTTTGATGGCAGTGTCCTGTTGTTTTGATTAACAGTCGTGTGTAATATAGGTGTGCTCCTCCAGCTGTGTTCTTTCTGTTCAGAGCTGCTGTGGCTATTTGCAGTGCTGAGATTCCACAAGAAAAATGACATGAATTTTTGTAGAGATGGCATTGAATTTGTAGACCACTTTGGGCAATGAAAACATTGTAACAGTGTTACTTCTAAACTGGGAACACAGGTTATATTTCCATATATTTGCGTGTTTTTCAATTTCCTCATGATAGTTTTCAATATATAAACTTTAACTTCTTGGTTAAATTTACCTCTGAGTTGTGTGTGTACTGGGTAGGGGCTGGGGAATGTGCTGGGGGTTGGACTCAGGGTCTTGTTCATGCTCAGTGAGTGCTCTGTCACTGGACTACAGTCCCAGTCTTTGGTCCTTTTTTTAAATTAATTTATTTTTATTTTATGTGAATGATTATTTTGCCTGCAAGTGCACCTGTGTCATGCAATGACAGCATAGGCCAGAAGAGGGCATCGGGTCCCCTGGAGCTGGCAGTTAGCTGCCATATGGGTTCTAGGCACTGAACCCAAGTCAAGTCCTCTGCAAGAGCAGCCAGTGCTGTTAGCCACTAAGCCACCTCTCCAGCTTGCCTTTTTTGTTTTGTTTTGTTTTGTTTTTGTTTTTGGTTTTTTTGTTTTTGTTTTTGGTTTTTCTTTTTTGTTTTTTTTGGGGGGGGTTGACAGCATTTCACTGTGGAATCCAGGCTAGGCTAGAACTCCAGATCCTTCTGCCACAGCCTCCCAAGTACTATAATTATGAGCGTGCACCGCTATACCTAGTTTATTTTTAATCATATTATAAATTACTTTGCTTTTCTCAGATTCTTTTCTGTACAGAAACTAAACTGATTTTTAAATTACATTTATTTTTTTACTTATTCATTTATTTATATGGGCACACATGGGCCATAGCTTGCGTATAGAGGTTAGAGGACAGCTTGCAGGAGCTGGTTCTTTCCTTCCAACCATGTGGGTCCCAGTGATCAAACTCAGGTTTGGGAGCAAACACCTTTATCCACTCAGCCATTTCACCAGCCTCAGCGGACTTTGTAAATTTTGATTATATATCCTGCAACTTTAATGAATTCATTACTCAGTTTCGGCGCTTTTCTCATGGAGTCCTTAGGGTTTCCTATATATAAAAGTGTCGCTAACAAGTCGATGCATTTTCCACCTTTTCCTTTCCTACTTGCATGTCTTTTATTTCTTCTTCCCCTGATGATTCTGACTTGCGGTTCCAGTACCATGTTGAGAAGAGGTGGCATCAGTAGGCCCCTTGTCTTCTTCCTGACCCCAAGGAGAAGCTGGTAACTTTCACCATTGAGTGTGCTGTTACCTAGGAGCTTTTTAGAAATGGCTTTGATTATGTTGTTTGACATTCCTTGCCCTGATTTTGGAGTTTTTAATCACAAAAAGCGTTGAAATGCTTCTTCTGCATCTGTTGAGATGGCTGTTAGAGTTGTATCCTTCGTTCTAATATGATGCATCACATTTTTTGAGCCATCTTTGCATCCAAGGGATAGAATCGCCCATTTGATCATGTATAATGGTCTTTTCAATGTGCTGTTGAGTTTAGGTTTCTTAGCTTTTTATTGAGTATTTTTCAGCTGTGTTCCTAAATGGCACTGCCCTGAGATTCCCTCGTCTGCAGCATTACTTGCTGGCTTTCTTATCAGGACAATGCTAACCTTGTGAAATTAGTTTGGAAATATTCCTTCCACCTCCATTTCTCGGTAGCATCTGAGAAGGATTGGTAGTCATCCTTCTTTAAGTAATTGGTGGAATTCACTTGTGAAACCATCCAGTTCCAAGCTTTGCTTCGGATGGGAGGTTTTCTGTTACTGACTTAGTCTCCTTCCTTGTTATTGGTTCACTCATATTTTGTTTAGAAGAAAATATTTTTTAATATTTATTATTTTTATGTGTCTGAGTGTATTGCCTGTGTGTATGTCAGTGCACCCATGTCATGCAATGCCCATGGACATCAGAAGAGGGTGTCAGATCCCCTGGAACTGGAGTTCCAGACGATTGTTAGCTGCCGTGGGGGTGCTGGGAACTGAACCCAGGTCCTCTGCAAGAGCAGCCAATACTCTTAACTGCTGAGCCATCTCCCCAGCCCTCTAGAAGAAAATCTTCATTTTTCCGAAGTATTAACAATTAGAGTCATTCCTTTGAATCAGAGATACTTAACATTTATTTTAAATATAACTAAATTTAAATTTCTTTTTTTTAATTTTTCATAATCTTTGCTTGGAGAATCCAGCTCTTCAACTTTGTCATCCAGGTTTGCTATTCTGTCTTCTGTTTCATTCATTCTACTTGTGAGATTTTTCTCCTGTTGTTTCAAATTGACTGACTGAGTTTTTCAATTCCATCTTCATTTTAGCTTGAGTTTTCTTCAGTATTTTTATCCCTGCGAATTCACTTTTCAAGTCCTGAATTGTTTTTGCTGTTTCATTCAGTCGCATATTTGTATTTTCTTGAACTTCTGTCACAAGTTTATTCCTCTCCTCTTTGAGTTGAGTAGTTTGTGTTTTCTTTAAGTTCTTTGATCATGTTTATGAGTGTTCTTTTAAATTCTGCATCCTGGAGTTCTCAGGGTGATTCTCACTGCAGTACACTTCTGTAGGACTGGTGGGTTTTGTTGGGGACATATTCTCTTGCTCTTTCATATTATTTGTGTTTTTGTGTTGCTGTTTGGATGTGAAGATATCTTTTGTTGGTTGTACGCCCAATAGGAAATTCTATTCTTCCTTTGTTTATTTGAATTTTGGTTCTGTTTATCTTGTTGCTGTAGCTTGACTGCTTTTTGCTCAGGTACGAAAGGTTAGTTGGTGTGTACTTCATGTTCTCGCGTGGTATTAGGTTGGTCTGGGTAGTAGGCAGGCTGGTCAGATAGATCAGGAGCCAGGGTAAGGTGAGGGTGACGGGCAGCCTGTAGAGGGTCTCACAAATTATGCTAGAGGATTTAGCTCTCATCTGGGTTAGGAAGCTAGTTCAGAGATCTGAGGCAAAAGAGCAGGAGGGGGTCTGGGTCCAAAGCTAGAAGAGGGACAAGATGTGAGGGCAGGATAGATTGGAGTTGCTCAGGTTGCTGGAATCAAGGCACAGTGGGCAGGAATTAATGACCTACAAGGGTTGAAGACTGGTCTCAAGAGTCCAAGGGCAAAGTCGGGGTAGAGACAACTTGTGGAGGGTCTAACAAATTAGGCTGGAAATTGAGCTGGTCTGAGTACAGGGAATCAGGATGCTGGAGGCAGGTCTTAACTTCTTTTCCAAACCTGTTCTTCCTCCACTCTTTCCCATCCCAAAAATGAGACCCACATAGTAAAGCTCCAGACCTAGTTCCTTCCTGTCCTCTTGCCAGTCCATCTCCAACCCCGTCTCCACTCCCTTCTCTTCTATACCCAATTTTCTGTCTTCACATAGGTCTTCTGCTTGTCTTCCACCATCACCCCCCAGCCCTCCAGCCCCCATCACCATCTACATCTTACACTAATGATTTTTAATATACTGCACATAGAAATACGGCCTTTTAAAAGGTAAGAAAAATAATTTTTGAAATATTGAATGCAGTGAAAATCATTCCTTATTTAAACATTACAAATAATTGGGAGTCTGCAAAAATAATATACATATAAGCTTAATGTCTAAACTGAGATGGATTTTAGCAATAAAGATAACTATTTTCAATCAAACATTAAAAAAACTTTAAAAGAAACACAACAAAGGCAAAGAAGTCTTTTTAATGATTTCTTCGTTCTTGTAACTTTTATTACATTTGTTCTTCGACAATTTCATGCACATATATAATGCTTCCTGATTGCTCTCAACCTTTACCCTCTCTTTTCTCCCGCCCACACACTCCTGTCAACCTCCCACATCCTCCTTACAAATCCCTGTCCCACTTCATGGCTTTTGTTTTGTTTTGTCTGTGACCCACTAAGTTCAACCAGGGCTTTCAATGTGATCTTGGGTTTAGAATTATCCACTAGAACTTCATGGCCTTGTCAGTGAGTGTAACTGAAGACAGTGACTGCCCCTTCCCCAGAAACCATCAGTAGTAATAGTTCAGCAGGTGAGAGGAGCAGCACACTGCCTGGATCCATGATTAGCCAATTGGCAGACCCAATCTTATGTAGGCCCAATTCAGGTTTACTGATTAATCCATAGACAAAAAGCATTTTATAAAGGCATAAAGCTTACTATTCTTAGAAAATACCCAAAGCCTGGCATGCTAGGAATTTTCTTGTTTTTAAAACTAAGTCCACATTTTGTTAAATTTGAATATAATTTCCAATTGTGACACTAATTTATTTATTTAATTTTATGTGTATGAGTGATATGCCTGCATGTATGTCATGCAGTGCCCAAGGAAGACAGAAGGGGGAGTCAGATCTCCTGGAACTGGAATTACGGATGGTTGGTAGCTGCTGTGTGGGTGCTGGGATTCGAACCCAGGTCTTCTGTAAGAACAGCCAATGGTCTTAACCACTGAGCCATCTCTCCAGCTCTCTCCTAATTTTATTTCTAAAAATCTTAACAAAAATCTTGTTTTCTTGTTGGAGATCAAAGTAAAATCGATAATGCACTGTTACTTTCTTTAGATTTTATTAAAACTAAAATGACAGACTAATTTTGGATCCTCAAAACACTTGATTCCAACAGCCCAGGGCAGAATATCAGCATCTTGATCTCTGAGTCTTACAAGACCACAATTGGAAGCTTTGGTATGTATCATAGTTTCAAAAGCTCTGTCTCGGCCATGTGCAAGTCATTTCTTACTGTGAGAAATCTTAAAAGTGGAAACTGTAAATGATAATGTAAGATAGAAACTGTGGAAAATCATCCAATACTCACTGAAACTATGCTAACCTACTCAAAAAGTATATGTGGCGATGCCAGAGGGGTGTTCTATCTGTCCACGGTGAGTTCTGCTGTATTGGTAGAAGTATACGTGAATTCCAGACAACAGACAGCACTGTCCAGCCGACTAGTCTTCTCTACTTTCCAATGTATTTCATTAGTAAATTACGATTAGGGAGCTCTCAGATCAGGACATACAGCAGAAATATGCAGCATTTCAGGAGCCTCATCCTTAAATTCTAACATGGTGTTTTGGGAGCAGTAGCTGCACTTGTCAAAGAAGAAACACAGGGCAGCCACAAGGCACCTGTGGAAAGGGACGGGAAACCAGGCCACAAGAGCTGCCAGACACATTTTTGTTTTAAGTTGCTGTAGCACTATCCCATGTGACCCTCTGGGTGTTCCCTACTCAGGGAACGAGCCCTAATTTTTAAATATCCTGCATGCTGCTTTTAGATCATAAGTCATGGGTATCTGGCATGCACAAATACAAGGTTGCTTCTCTGAGACCCACACCATTACACATTGCTGTGGTTTCAGAGATGCTGTTTTAGAATCCTAAAGAAACATTCCAAAACCGTCGTTCCTTTCTCGGCAATTTCTTATAAAGGACAACAATAAAATAGAAATCTCTCATTTCAGATTTCTGAATGCCCTGAGATAAAACAGAAATGCCTTATGCGGTTCTAAATGTATTTTTCTTTTTGTGCTTGGAATCAGAAAATACTAAGAAAGCAGAAACTACAACTGATGAAATTTCACTTGAAAATAATGATGATAAAGGAATTATAGTCTCCACAATGAATTTGAGCACCAATGTGACAGCCGCCAAGACCAAGGAGATGATCTTGAAGAAGCTAATAAGAAGAAATAAAGACACACTTGGAGCACCCAGAAACAACAGGGTAATGTGACCCCATGCCTGCTAACAGTCTGCTCATAATAGTCAAGTACCAAACTTAACTTACCTGTTTTAGTTAATATTGATGGAAAGGTGTGTGTATTGTATACTCCTGAACATTCCTACAAGATGCACTTACAATGGGGATTTTGATTTTCAAATCAGTATGTTCAGTTTCCAATATGATGGATTGACCTGGTTGACAGTTACTAAGACCAGCTGAGTGTACTAAAATCTGAACAGGGGTGCGCTGGGAAATGAGTTAGATGCAGGGCTTTGTTGCTGTATCTTTGTGCTCATTCTCTTCTACTGTATGGGGCTCTAAGAGGAATAGACACTTCTAGAATCCATGGCCTCAGACACGGGCATCAAAGGAATGGACTTGTGGTCACGAGCTCGCAGCCCAGGGGCAGTGGCTGTCCTGACTGTCACTATTACCCTGGCCTGCTGGTCCACTTTGCTGTCACAATTGAAGTTTATGGTCACTGACTTCAGTTAAATAACATAAAGTAAACTCAGGGTCAAGAGATATGCACGGTGCATAAGAAGCTCACGTTGGGCCCTCAGGGATAACTCCTATGCCAACTCCTATGCCAGCCTCATCAGCTTTTGAGGGCCTACCTCAGATTCCCTTCACTTAAACAAGGTGTGGATAAAACTGATGATCTTTGCCTGTGTGAGTAAACTTTAAGGATCTGGAAAAAGTTTTAGCAACCTTAAAATGACACCATTAGAAAATGTAAGCAAGAAAAATTTCCACCTATCTCTGAGCCAAAAGAGGGAGAACTGAGTGTTCTCCAAAAAGTAATATTGATAGTTACAAATTAGGAAATTAAAATAGCTATTTATATTTTTGTTTCACAAAAATAACACAATTGAGTCTGTTGAATGCAGATTATAATCAATATATTCCCACTACACAGTATTTTCCAAGGAGACAAGTGATACAGGTTTAAAACTGGAACATCTTCTGAATTTCCTGCTGATTGTTCATGACGCCAGCAAAGGAGAGCCTTGTTCCCAAGCCAAGGTGGCATATGAAATAAAAACACTGAATACAACAGGGCCTTGCCAATAGCTGGCACTTGATGAGAAAATGCTTAATAAATTGGTACATTCCTTAGTAAGTGCCACAGTTAAATTATTTTTATAAGCATCAAACACACTTGCAACTGTGATGTCATTATTGTCAACTACATAGGTGGTGTTGTTTTTAATACTATTTTCTGAAACCATGTCTTGAGAATAGATTTGATCTATAGTAGAAAAACAAATTACTATATAAAATTTTGTTCTCAAGATAACATAATTAATTCTAATTTACCATTTAAAGAGAGTACTAATTAGCATTTTTAAACATTTTGTCTTCCTTAAGCTTGTAATATTTATTGATGACATGAATATGCCAGTACCAGATAAGTATGGAGCACAGCCACCTCTGGAACTGATCAGACAGTTATTAGATATGGGAGGGATTTACGATACTGAGAAAAATGCATGGAAGGTACAGTATATACTAAGATTTTGTTCTCATTAAATATTGCTACTGGTAATTAATTGGATGCTTATAACAATGTTGAGTGAAGAATTTAGAAAGCCTAGTCATGCAGTACACATCATCACGAAGCATCTCTCCTCCAGCTCCAACTTCATTCTTCTCTATGCCTAAATACAACTCTACTGTGGGGTCTCCAAATATACCACTTCCTGGATTCCTAAGTCAGCTCACCACAGAAACATTTGCACATCCATGTTTATTGCAGTACTAGTCACAATAGCCAAGCCATAGAATGAGACTAGAGGCTCATCAACAGATTAAATAGATTTAAAAAAATGAGGTTGGAGAGATGGCTCAGTGGTTAAGAGCACTGACTGCTCTTGCAGAGGACCCAGGTTCGATTCCTAGCACCCACATGGCAGCTACAAACCATCCTTAACTCCAGTTCCAGGGGAATCTGAAGCCCTCTTCTGACCTCCGCAGCATTGCATGACATAGGTGCACTCACATACGTGTAGATAATACACTCATACACATAAAATAATAAATAAAATATTTTAAAAACATGCTTTGAATACAGCATGGAGGGGTCTTTATTTTTTAATATTTATTATTTTTATGTGTATGCGTGTATTGCCTGGATGTTGGTAAGTGCACCCATTTCATGCAATGCCCATGAAGGACAGAAGAGGCTGTCAGATCCCCTAGGACTGGAGTTACAGGCAGTTGTTAGCTGCCATGTGAGTGCTGGGATTCGAACCGGGGTCCTCTGCAAGAACAACCAGTGTTCTTAATCACTGACCCATGTCTCCAGCCCCTAGGGGTCTTTATTTTATGTGTATGAGCGTTTTACCTTCATATATGTAAGTACACCATGTTGTGCAATGCCCTTGGAGGTCAGAGTGGTTGTTGGATCCCCCCTGGAACTGGAGTTAGAGTTTTTAGCCACCATGTGGGTGCTGGGAACTGAAGCAAAAGCAGTCAGTGCCCTTAATCCCTGAGCCATCTCTCCAGCCCCCCCCCTTTTTTTTTGGTCTTTTTGAGACAAGGTCTCCCTGTAGCCACAGCTGGCCTGGATTTGCTAATGGAGACCAGGCTGGCCTCGAACTCACAGAGATCCACCTGCCTCTGCCTCCTGAGTGCTGAGATTAAAGGTGTGCACCACCACACCCAGCTCCCTTTTATTTTTAAAAATGTTTTATTATTTTTACTCATGTGTATGTGTGTATTGCCTGCATGTAGGTAAGTGTCATGCAATGCCCGTGGAGGACAGAAGAGGCTATCAGATTCCCTGGAACTGGAGTTACAGACAATTGTTAGCTGTCATGTCAGTACTGGGATTCAAACCTAGGTCTTCTGCAAGAACAGCCAGTGTTCTTAACTGCCGAGCCATCTCTCCCGCACCCCCCCCCCCTTTTTTTTAAAGCTTTCCATAGTAGTTCTGTTTTCAGTGTTTTGAGGAACCTCCATACAGTTTTCCATGATGGTTGTTCCAGTCTTACATTCCCATCAGCAGTACCTGAGGGTTCCTCTTGCCCTATATACCTTTTAGCATTTGTGGTCAAGTGTTTGCTTGATGATAGCCATTCTGTGAAATGAAATCTTAATATACTTTTAATTTTCATTTCCCTGATGATTAAAGATACTGACCTTTTCCTTGTCTTGATTTTTTATTTATTTATATTTTATGTGTATGAATGTTTTGCCTGCATGTATGGAAATGGACCCATGTGTACAATGTCTAAGGAGGCCAGAAGAGTGACAGATCCCCCGGAACTGAAATTGTAGATGGTTATTAGCCACCATGTGGGTGGTGGAAACAAACCAGGCTTCTCTGCAAGAGCAGCCAGTGTTCTTAACAGAACCATCTCTATAGCCCCTTTTTTATTTTTTTTTATTTTTTTTTTTTTTTGTCTTTTTGAGACAAGGTCTCCCTGTAGCTCCAGCTGGCCTGGAACCCTCTATGTAGACCAGGCTGGCCTCAATCTCACAGAGGTCTGCCTGCCTCTGCCTCCTGAGTGCTTGGATTAAATGTGTGCACCACCACGCCCAGCTCTAACTTCTTGATTTTTTTTTCAAACATGGGTTTGTTGTTTGTATTTCTTCTTTTAAGTGCTGTCCAAATCCTTTTCCCATTTGGTCATTTGGTTATTTGTTTGGTGTTTGATTTTTAGAATCCTTCATCAATTGTAGATATTAATCTTCTGTCAGTTATGTAGTTGGCAGATTTTCTCCTGTTCTGTGGGCTGCCTCCTCACTGCTGACTGTTGCCTTTGCTGTGCTTTTCATTTCATACACTCCCATCTGTCAATTCTTGAAATAATTTCTTGAGCTATAAAACTCATTTTTTTACAAACATATTTATTATTTTTATTTTTTGTGTATGAGTATATTACCTGCATGTATGTAAGTGCGCCCATGTGGTGCAATGCCCACGGTGGCCAGAAGAGGGTATCGGATTCCGATGGAACTGGAGCTATAAATGGTTGTTAGCCATCATGTGGGTGCTGGGAATCAAACCCAGGTCCTCTGCAAGAGCAGTCAGTGCTCTTAACCACTGAGCCATCTCTCCAGGTGGCTTGTTTTTAGAAAGTGTGTGCCTATGCCTGTATCCTGAAGTGTTTTCCCTATATTTTCTTCTAGGGGTTTCAGAGTCTCAAGTCTTACATAAAGGGTTTATTTTTATCCATTTTGAATTGATTTTTGTACAAAGTGAGAGATAATGGATAAAGTTGTGTTCTTCTACATGTATCTATCCAGTTTTCCCAGGACTATTTGTTGAATAAGCCGTCTTTTTTCCTGACATTTTTCATCAAAAAATTTATATAGCTCAAGCTGTCCTGGAACTCTCTATATAGACCAGGCTGGCTTTGAACTCAGAGATTCACCTGCCTCTGCCTCCCAAGTGCTGGGATCAAAGGCAAACTCTACAGCTGTGTGTGTTTATTTCTGTGTCCTATATATGCTTTTCTATTTGTGTGTCTGGTTTTGTGCCAGCACCTTGCTGTTTTCGTTATTATGGCTATGTGGTATGATTTGAAATCAGTTAATTTCCACTCCTTCAGTGCTGCTCCTCCTGTTTAAGATTGCTTTAGCTATTCACAGTCTTAGTACTTCCATATGAATTTTACAGTTGCTTTTTCTGGGAAGAGTATCATTGGAATTGATGTAGATTGCACATCAATTGATGTAGATCTTTCTGGAAATAGAGCAATTTCTCACTATTCTGCCCATCCATGAGTATGGGAGCTCTTTCTGTTTTCTAGTGCCTTCTACAATTTCTCTTTTCAGTGTTTCAAAGTTTTTATCCTTGAGGGCTTTTAAATACTTGGTTAAGTTTATTCTTGGGCATTTTTTAAGCTGTTGTGAATGAGTTTTGTTTTGTTTTGTTTTGTTTTTCTAGGCAAGTTTGTTATTGGTATATAGGAGAAGTACTGATTTCCAGTATGTTGATTTTGTATATTGTTGCTTTCTGAACGTGTTTATCAGAGCTAAGAGCTTTCAGGAAGAGTCTTTCCTTTTTTTTCAGAATAGTGTATTTTCTGCAAATAGGGATCATTTGATTCCTCTTTCCCTTTATCTCTTTCTCTTGCCTTATTGCTGCAACTAAGACTGCAAGTGTTACATTAAATAGAAGTGAAGAGTATAGGCAACATTGTCATGTTCTTTATTTTAGAGAAAAGGCTTTCCATCCCCCCTTCATATAATACTGGCCATACTTGTCATATATAAAGCCTTCAAGTTTAATCATCAAGAGATGTTGAACTTTGAGGGAGGGAAGTGGAGGGAGGGGAGGGAGGGAGGGGGTGGGGCGCGGAGCTGGAGAGATTGTTTTTGTGTGTGTCCCTGTGTGCGTGTGTCATTTTAAGGTGGCTCGGGAGCGGCCTAGAGGAGCTGGCGGCGGCCCAAGGAGTGAGGGACGGAGCCGGGAGCCATGCTATGCTGAGGGCCCCCCCACACACACACAGCCAGCGCCACCCCCACCGCCACTGCCGCCACGGGGTGGGGTGGGAGGGGCGGGAGCCCGCCGCCGCCGCCACCGCCACCTCCCGGGTGGCTTCTCTGTGGACGCCCGCGACCCATCATCGTAAATGGTTGTGAACCGATGAAGCTGAATTTTTAAAAAGACTGACAGCCCTTCGAGTGAGCTGTAGAGTTTGCGGACGCATTGATACTGGGTTGAGAGTGGCGTGATGCACGCAGACTCCCGCGAGTACCCCTAAGTTCTTAGAGGACTGCTTTGCCTTTTGAATAAGAGAGTTGCAAAATTCGATAAACAATGGCCCTTGTGGATAAGCACAAAGTCAAGCGACAGCGATTGGACAGAATTTGTGAAGGTGTCCGCCCCCAGATCACGACCGGCCCCCTGCACCCCCGCCCCCTGGTGGCACTGCTGGATGGTACAGACTGCACTGTGGAGATGCCCATCCTGAAAGACCTGGCCACTGTAGCCTTCTGCGACGCACAGTCTACTCAGGAAATCCACTAGAAGGCGTTAAACGAGGCTGTGGGTGCCATGATGTACCACACCATCACCCTCACCAGGGGAGACACAGAGAAGTTCAAGGCTCTGAGGGTGATCTTGCGGATCGGCAGTGGTTACGACAAACGTGGACATCAAGGCTGCCGGCGAGCTTGGGATTGCCACCGTGTGCAACATCCCATCTGCTGCTGTGGCGGAGACTGCAGATTCCACTGCCCGCCACATCCTCAATCTCTACCGACCGAACACGTGGCTGTATCAGGCACTGCGAGGCACACGGGCACAGGGAGTGGAACAGATCCGTGAGGTGGCCTCAGGAGCAGCTCGAATCCGAGGAGAGACCCCGGGCCTCATCGGCTTTGGTCGCACAGGGCAGGCGGTTGCTGTTCGAGCCAAGGCCTTTGGATTCAGCGTCATACTTTATGACTCCTACTTGCAGGATGGGATAGAGAAGTCCCTGGGTGTGCAGAGGGTCTATACCCTGCAGGACTTGCTATATCAGAGCAACTGCGTCTCCTTGCAC